GCAAAGACTCTTATTCCAAATGAGGTCACATTCTGAGGTTTCAGGTAGACACGTCTTTTGGGACCAGAAGTCAGCCCACTACAGGGAAGGCTGGTCCTTTTGGTGGTTTTGACAAATTTCATGTGTTTTCTATGCTCAGACATGATTCCGGAGTGGTCCTATTTGTCTCGATCCACCAGGGTCACAGAGTGCCCTTGTGCAATGTGATGTTGGGAGAAATTGCTTACACTCAGTCAGGGAACACCGAGGCCCAGCCCGAAGTGCCAGACGAGCTTCTGGAGGCCAGGGCTTGCTCTTCTCTTTCTCACCTGAAGTCAGTGAGGGAGGGAGACGTGCTGACATCAGGGGGCGGGGTGGGTGAGGCGTCCAGCTCCAGGGGCAGGGTGGGAGTGTGCCTTGAGGGTTGAAGGACCAACCAGACTCTGGGCAGCTGCAGGTCATGAGCAAGAGGGAGAAGGGTAGGAGGGGAGAGCAGAGAGGGGGAGGGTGTGCAGTGGAAGAACTGCTCTTCCTCTGATGAAAACGAGGGGCCCTGGGAGCATCCTGATCGGAGCAGTGAATACGACAGACCGACAGTGAATACGTCATTAGCAGGCATTTCCATGGACTGTTGGTGGACTGAGTTGGTTTCAAGAGCAAGGGGAGGAGAGGAACTGGAAACAGCAAGATGAGGCCACTCTAATCAGATGTTCTGCAAAGCGGAGCAGAGAAAGGGCTGGGGGGAAGCTGAGGTCCCTGGTGGGGAAGTGGAATCGAATTAAGAGATGGTTTTTGCTGTTTCCTTTTAAGGTGAGAGCAGTAAGAGTGAGTTTGACTGCTGCTCCAAGTGATCCACAGCAGCAGGGGGCGGTCTGGGCAGCGTCAATAGGAGAGGGCATGACCACAGGCGAGGGAGACAGGCTCTAGTGGCCAGGTGGCAGCTTGGCTGGGCAGGGTGGGCAGGGTGGGCAGGGGGGCAGAGGGAGGCGGAGGGAGGCAGGCCGTGAGACTCAGCCACCAGAGGTTCTCTTCTCAGAGTCTCCTTCCACATCTGGTCTGCGCTTTCCCATAGTAAACCTGCCCCCGGGGCCATGAGGCAATAGTGTCACCCAACCTGGCCTCGGTGTGGACACAGCACTTATAGCTCCACAGACCCCTAAAGGGGACCAGAGATAGTGACAGAAGTAGGAAATAGAGAGGGAGAGAAATCAGAAAGAGACCAAAATCCAGAGTCTTCACAGACCCAGGCACATCAACTCGAGTCAGGAGCTCCCCTGTGCTGTGCATGGTCCAAACCACCAGCGCCAGGGTGGACCCTCTGCTGACCGCTTGCCAGCTGTGTGACCTTGGTCCCGGCACTCCTCTGGGCCTCAGATTCCCCACCTGTAAAACGGGATACCACCAACCTCCTATCAGGGCTGTTGGGAGAAAGAATTAGGGAGATAACACACGTCTGGACCAAAAGCTCGCGGTATACAGCGTTCCTCGTCCGCCCCTCACAGCCCCACCCCAGGCACACACGTCAACACAGCGATTCCAAGGGTGGTAGCAGGGCTCCCCCTGCTGGCTGACTCTGGAACTGCACCTTCGCCCCTGTTCAGAGGTGGACCGTCCCAGTGTATTCCCTAAGGACAACAGGCAATGATTTTATTCCGCAACAGATGCCAACCAAAGTCAGCAGGTGATAGCTTCCAGTGGTCTTGGCAAGGGGTGACAGGGCCATGTCTGGCCACAAAGGTGGCAAGAAGAAGCCCCTAAAGTAGCCCAAGAAACAGGTCAAGGAGATGGACAAGGAAGATAAGGCATTCAAGCAGAGGCAAAAAGAGAAGAAACTTGAGGAACTAAAGCGAAGGCCTCAGGGAAGGGCCCCCTGGCCACGGGTGGAATTAAGAAATCTGGCAAAAAGTGAGCTATTCTCCTGCCTGGGGCAGTGGTGACCCTTCATTCCATTCCCGTGCAACGTCTGGATTCCTTGTCACAGCTCTCCTGCCACCTATAGCTGGACTGACGTGCTGTCTGGAGCCTGTTGCACATTTAAGAGTAAACTTTTGTAAAAAAAAATATATAATAATAATAATAATAATAATAATAATAATAGTCATGCAGTGACTCATCTCTTTAGTTCTTCTCGCTGCCATTTCAACCTTAGCTGGGAGTTCAGAGTAAAACCCAACCCCAAATCCTGTCAAAGAGCGTTCGTTCTTCAGTCTTTGTTCCATCCAGAATTCTGTACCACCTGGAAGTAAACGAACTCCTTTGAAATGGCTGCTAAAAAAAATCAGTAGGTGAGCACTCCAGAACCTTCCCATCACCCCCTTTATCATATGCTGGGGGTTTTAATCCACCCCGCCCCCTTTGGTTCTGCAACTGCCCCTTCATGGAGTACCCTCCCCTCCACCATGTGGAAACACAAATGTCTCCCTTCTGGAACGTTCCATGACCTTCACCACCCTTCCTTCCTGCAGACAGAACTACTGGAACTTTCTCTTCCATATGCTCTTACCTCTACTGGATTTGCTAAATTATGTGAGAGCACTAAAACACCTGTCTCACCTGAGGCCAGGTGATTGCCTTATTCATCCACTGCCAGATGGATTTTAAAACATCTGAAATCTCCCCAAGGTAGTCTCCCTCACTGTGGGTGACAGGTGAGGGGTGTGTGTGTGTGATGTACTTTGGATTATCCGATATTTCTACATGAGCGTATCTTTTTTTTTTAAAGGAAAGAAAAATCCTTTAGTGGCTTCCTGGTATTTTCAAATTCCCCAGCAAAGCTTACAGGGTGGGGTCTGGCCTCTGCCTTTGACTCCTCCCTCCTTCCACCCACCAGCACCCCATACCTGCCTCCGTGCCTCTTCACACTGGTTGCCCTCCCTGGAGAATCTTGGTCCACACTCCTCCACACGGCAAATCCCTACTGGTTTTCAAAGCCTGGCCTAACTGTCATCTCCCTAGAAGCCTTCCTGACCCCCACAGTCATGCTGTCCTCACCTGTCCGGCCCTCCACTAAAGCTCTCAGCATCGACAGCACTGTATATGCTCCCTTGAAGGAGGCAGGCCCCCTGCAGGTGGGGGAGGGGTAGTGCACCACCTTCGTGTTCAACCTGTTGAGAGAAGTCAGTTCCCGCTGCCATGGTTTGCTCACAGGCAGAATGAAGGATCCAGGCAGAATCTCATAAATCCTTCAGATTCTAAAATTCTATGGTCTGCAGAGAGTAGTCACCTTATTTTAAGCAACCGTCACCCAACAGCAGATGCTGCACTGGGATCACCTGGGAAATGGGCCGTTTTCTGTTCTTTGTGGGATTCACCCTCCTCTCCCCACCCCCGGGCAGGGGCACATGGGTTGTCCTCTCCTTAGCCGACGGCCCCGTTAGTGGGCACAGGACTTCGGGGAAGCTCATGGTCTCTTCCCATGCAGGGTGGACTGTGTCCTAGGGGGAGAGGCTGTGTCTCAGCAGCATCATGCTCATCTGCATGACAGTCATTTGCCAACACCTGTGGTGAGTAGGAGGGTCGATGTCTAAAGCTGCACTAAGGGGAAGAGGCAACTGAGCCGCCTCCCGCGGTGCTCACCTTTGAGGGGTGCACAGACATGACTGGGGGGAAATCAGAAACATGGCGCCAGGCAAGCCAGGTTTCTTTCTACACGTACATCCCTCCTCACATCACGTAACTACCAAGTTCAGGCACTCCTGCTCCCACTGATGTCAACTGGGCCTTTGGAGGAAAAGATGCATAGCTTTGCAGACTTGGATAACCTCTGCTGAGCTTTCTTTGAGGCACCGATGCCAAGTTTCACCCTGCAACGCAAATGCTGGAACCCAATAATGCAGGGCATGAGCTCTACCTAGGAAGCATGTCTTTCATTATCCACACTAAATCTAAATCCTTTCACGTACCTTCCAGTACGTTGTTGTTTGGAAAACAATTAACTTCAAAACAATGCCCAGCTACAACCAATAAAGCTACAGCCCGTTGCACACAACAGCGCCCCAGGCGCAGGCTGCGCTCACTCACCCTTCGCCCCAACCCGTGCTGGAGGCTGTGTGAGCCTGTGTCCTGGATTCAGACTAGTTTCAACCCCGACTTCACTACAGTGGGATCACAGGGAAATTTATTTTGTCTCTGAGCCATATTCTCATCTGTAGAGTGGGGATAAAAACAGTACTCGACTTGGGGCTCTGTGAACTCAGTGACGCTGTAAACCAGGGGTCCTCGGCCTCTCCTCCCCTGTGGATGCCACCCGTGTTACTGCTCAAGCTCCTCCTCCTGTCTCCTCCCCACCCACCCCAACCCCACCTGGGTCGGTGGAAAAACTGTCTTCCATGAAACTGGTCCCTAGTTCCAAAGAGTTGGGGGCCGCTGCTGGGTTGGCAGGGTGGGTAGGTGATCAATGTGTCACTACAATGAGGGAAAGGTACTCTCCTAAGATGAGGACCCTCACTTTTACAGGAGCCGATGGAGAAGTCAACTTCCTACACACTTGTGACTTTATGGACCTTCCCATTCTTACCAGGCTGCGCCGGCTACAAGTCCACTGTCCACCCACGGGATCCAGAGCGGAGCTGGCACCTCCGTCACAAAGCCATCTCCGTGCATAATCCCGGCCACACGCCGAGTGCACTTGCTGCCGTGACGCTCCAGCAGGCAAGACACTTCCATTCAATCCAAACTCCAGCTGGAACCCCTTCTAAACGTACACAACTTTGGCTTCCTTTTGCTCCTGTGCTACCTGAGCTGCAGCTGTAACCAGAGAGCAGGTGACCGAGCTTAAACCACGCCCACGCCAGGACAAATGCCCCAAAGCCCAGTCTCCCAATTAAGAGCCGCTGCCGGCACCTCTTCACCCACTCGGCTCCATGAGGCTTCCCTCTGGGGCTAGAGTCTCTAACTGGAAGTCTCGCATCCGTCAGGGGGCATTTCCCTGTGTGGTAATAACATGGGGACAGAACACCACCTCCCAAGCCCTCTTGTCGGTGGGGATCGGTGATGGTGACTGAATCACAACTGCACGGGAATGACAAAAGTTACATTTAATTTACAATGTAATAAAGGTTACAGGTAAAAAGCTACACTTAAAGCGTGAAAAGGCCTATTACACAAATGTACAAATCTCTGTACAAAGCTCACATCAATGTTTCCTACCTCCGTCTCCTACGTTTGTTAGCCAGGACTAGCCTCAGCGCTCTGGGAAACGAGAGCTCTCAGTCAAAGGGGGGAAGAGCCATTGAACCAACTTCTAAAAACATCCTCTTAGAGACATCCGTTGCTTGCAAAGTTAAATCTTTTTTTTAATTAATTGGAATTCTTCTAACTGGTCATATCCTTTGTAAGTCGCCTTCATTAACACACTTGAAAAGGAAAAGTACAGCCTTAGAGTCGAGGACAGTACTCCAGAGTCAAATGGGAAGCTTCTGCACGTAGGGTACTCAGGTTTGACAAGAAAAACAGGTAAAGTTCAAACAAGTCGTAAGTGTAAAACTACCAACCTGTGTCTCTGGCACGGGCCTCAGCCACAAGCAAAATGTCCTCATTCCAATAGAAAGAACACAAGAGAAAAGCCTAACTACTGGACCTCAAAACCACTGACCAGGGAAATATTTTGAGTTTAAACTTGAGCTTAACTGAAGAGTACTAAACCCTTTCTGATCAACCTCAGACCCATGGCAACCCTTTTGCTCTGTGGGACTTACAGGGATAGTACGTTTAAATTAGGCTGCAGTACCCACAAGGCTGATGAGGTGACGGTCACCTCCCCACCTCTGAATTCAACCTGAGGGCCTGGAGTGTCTCCCTAGGGTTCATGACTTTAAATAAAAATGATCCTAGAAAGAGGGAGGGAAGGAGGAGGTAATGAAAGGCCTGGGAGAGGGCCAGGGCAGTCTATTTAAAAGGATGTATAAAACATTTCTCTACACCGAAGGTGTTCTGAAGACTAGTCTTTACGGGCTATTTCAACCCCACCCCAAGTCTTGATATCACATGGTTAGGACCCCAGGAGACACTCTGAAAGACGATACTGCACACATGGAAAATTTTTCTCCCTAGTTCATTAGCTCCCCCATCGCCCTTCCACCCAACTCCCACCCAATCCCACCCTTCTCCATGACCAAAAATATCAAATCAGCAAGGAAGGAGTGGGCTTCTTGCCCGGCCAAGCTTCTTTTGCATATTTCTTCTTCTTGGGTTCATTGACAGCTTCAGGGTTATAGACGACAGGGTTTGGTGCAGGATTCATGGTCACTGCTGATGGCACAACAGGAGTCAAGTCCACGTCAGGGGCAAGGTTCGGGTATGGCATGGGCAAACCACCGATGAGTGCTGTCCCGTGGATGCCATGGGGCTGAGAGCCGGCTTCACTGTGCGTGGGGGGCAGACCTCCATAGAGTCCTCCACTGAATGCAAAGTTCTGTATGCGCCTGCTCCCCGACTCTTCCAGGCCCAGGGAGCCGGCGCCCTCCACTCGCTTCTTCTGTGGTTCACAAGGAAGAGAGGAGACAAGAGGTGAGACACAGAGTGGTACCAATTAGCTTTTTTCTATTCTAGTCCGAAAAGAATTTTAGGAGGCCCCTTTTTGTTTTATTTCCCAGACAGTCTATTTCACTGTCCTGAAGCCTCAGGGTTTACAGAGACTTGACAGTGGCCGTGTAACGTGCCGGGTCCACACAAGATCTTTACCACCCGAGTCACACCGAGAAAATGAGGACAGAGTGTGAGCTTTTCCTAAAGTAAAACATATCTATCCAGTTTAAGTGATCATTCTTTATCCTTAGGCTGTCATACTACCCCTCCCTCTGTTTTTAAAGATTTTATTTATTTATTTTTTAGAGGCAGGGGAAGAGAGGGAGGAGAGGGAAAGAACCGTCAATGTGCAGTTGCCTCTCGCACACCCCCTACTGGGGATCTGGTCCGACAACCCAGGGATGTGCCCTGTCTGGGAATCGAACCAGTGACCTTTAGGTTCACAGGCTGGCACTCAATCCACTGACCCACACCAGCCAGGGCAAAAGTGATTTTTTTTTTAAAGAGTGAATTTTAAAACCAGATCATATGAAATGTCATTTCAAATACTGTTACAATGTGCTTCCTACCTTCACTGGGACCACAGCCGTCTGCACCATGTTCCGGAAGCGTCCAACTGAGGGATCCACATCCTCTGCAAAAAGACACGAGGGAAGAATTAGGTTGGTACTCTACTGGGAGGACTGAGGGTATAGCGTTCGCTGCAAACAAAGCAATCACAACAACTTATGTTAAAACAGTAAAATCCAGCTAATACTTTGAGTGTTTACTGGGTGCTAAGCACCGGTTAAGTCTCCACAAGCCTATGAGGTAAACACCACTACAGTCAACACTTAACTGACAAGAAAACAACTCAGGCCCTGGCAGATGAGGCTCCATGGACTGAGCTCCAGCCTGAGAACCGAAAGGTCACCGGTTTGATTCCTAGGCAGGGCCCGTGCCTGGGTTGTAAGCCAGGTTCCCAGTTGGGAACACGTGAAAGGCAACTGTTTCTCCCTCACACATGGATGCTTCTCCCCCTCTCTGTCTCTCTTCCCTTCCCCTCTCTAGAAAGAAACAAAAGAAATTTTATTTGTTTCTTTCTAGAGAGAAGAAGAGAGGGAGACAGAGAGGGGGAGAAACATCCATGTGTGGTTGCCTCTCACACACCCCTAACTGGGGACCTGGCCTGCAACCCAGGCATGCGCCCTGACTGGGACCTGAACCAGCAACCTTTTGGTTCACAGGCTGGAGCTCAGTCCACTGAGCCACACCAACAGGGCAAATAACTAAAATCTTAAAAACAACAACAACACTCCTATAAATTCCTTTGGAAAATAAAGATTCATTATTTAATTTGAATAATTAATACCTGGTTGATTTAAGCCTGACTTTTCCACGTTAGGGTGCCTCTAAAGAATATACCTTGGTATATTCACTGAACAACCAACCTTCGTTCAACGAATGAACGAATGAATGGCTCCCGCATGCAAGAGGAAAAGACAACCAGATTCAGGAAGGATACGAGGTCTCTAAAAAAGGCACCCTCATCTTTTCTCCTCCCCACAGGAGCCCTGTTCCAATCATCCCTTCGGCAAGGAAAGCTGAAGGAGGCACATGAGCAACGGGAGCCTGCCAGGGGTGGCTACCGGGGTGTGCACCCCACGGGCGCACCAGGCCTACAGAAGGGAGGCCTAAGCCTCTCTGGGGGACCCTGTTCTGTGCTGGCTGAATGGTGGTCAAGCCTCTCATCCTCTCCTCATTCTCCAGTCACTCTACTCCTACACAGAGGATACAACCACTCCAGGAGACCCCTGTTCCTGGGTATGTACCAACAAACTCCCTGGTAAGTCGACTTCAGGGTATAGGAAAGCTTGCATGGCTAGAAGGCTGACGCTCTGACAGGCGATGGAGGGATAATGGCTAACATTTATCAAGAGCTTACTGAATGCCAAGCACCGATCTGAAGTATTTTTACATATCATGCATTTAATCTCCTCACCAATCCTGTGAGGACAGTAGTCTTTTAAGTTACTTGACCAAGGTCTTGCAAGTACCAGGTAGAGAGGGGGACTTCCAACCCAGGCCCTCTCATTTCAGAGCCTATACTCTTTAACCATTCCACTGTGCTCGGCCTTAATACAGCTCTGGACAACACTTCCCCAGGAGAAAGACAAAGCAGATCAGATGCTGGTCGTCTAGTCCAGTAATTCCCAAGTTATCAGCTATTCGTTAGTGCCAGGGCTTGTTTTAAACTACAAATTTTTAGGTCTCACCTCTAGAAACTCTTACTCCATAGGTTCTGGGCCCAGAATAAGCTTCCGAGATTGGTCATCCCACCCCTGCCTAAACATTTCCCTCGGGCATTCACGACTTCTGGCAGTAAGCCGGTCCACTTCACACACCGTCTAGGGAAGGTAAACTGGTCCCTAGAATGAATGCCCCGATCTCTTTCACAGGAATCCTTTCAACTCTTCTAAATATAAGAAGGACTCGATGCTGTTATTGTTGTTTTAATCCTAAGGATATCTTTATTGATTTTAGAGAGAAAGAAGAGGGGGAGAGGGAGGAGGGGAGACAGAGACAGAGAGAGAGACACAGAGAGGAGCATCAATCAGCTGCCTCCATGTATGCCCCCTCAATCGAACCCACAACCTTTTCGGGTTCGGGATGATAACCCAACCAGCTGAACCAACCAGCCGGGCTCCTCGTTGCCTTTCACACTGACCCAAACACTTGCTACTCACCGGCTCTGGTTCTGCCCACGGCTTCCTCCTTAAGGCTGGCCCTGCACGGATCCGACCACAGGGGCCACCCCTCCTCCCTCCACTCTTCCCGACGCGTGGTCCCTTCCCTACATTCCAGCATCGGGGGACTAAGGGACTGTTCTCCATACCTATGAGTCTCTGCCTCCATTTAAATAATTGGTATTTTGAACCTAAATGCAGGGCTTGAAAGTGATTCTCACTGCATTTCATTTTGGGCATTAATAGCGACTTATTAGTCTGGGATCCCTGTTTCTATCCATTGAGATTTATGTTCAAACAAAGATTTTTGAATCCCAATTCCATCTTCACTGTACAAACTATAACTCCCAGCTCTATGTCATTCCCCTGCCAGAGTACTTAAGATACAACATGAACCCAGGGGGAGGGGTGGGGAGAAAATGCAGATAACTGTAACTGAACAATAAACTAATAAAAAAAAAAGATACAACATGAACCCAATAAATAAATGTTAGACGATGGAACAAACTGGTAAAGTTAGTGGCCGTCCCATATGATGTTCTTAGCTTACTGACATTTTCAGACAAACTTTCTATAAATTATTCTCCAACAGACAGGCAAGTCCTCAATGCGGTTAATAGCAGCAGCAGAAGGTTCTCCAATCTTAAGAGTTACCAAGCATACACAGAAGCGCAAAAAGACAATCATGTCCTCCTTAGAGATAAAGAGAGCAAACACCTATGCTTAACTTAACCCTTCACTATGACCCGGACATACCTGATCAGCAGAGGAAAATTACGGCCTTGCTCTGTATATCGAGTTACATGGGCCCTGCCTTCAGCTATTGCTTTCACACCGCAAGTGGATAATGCTTGAGTGTTGGGGGTGCCGCCCCAATGAACTACAGAAACTCTCTCCTTAAGGTAGCAACCTGTTATCCTAAACCTTGTGAGAGACACCGCAGCTGGCCTGCAGGTTATGTGTACCACTCTCTGAGACCATACTTTTTCACCAGAAGAAACTGGGAAGATACCCACCTGGGTTGATGATCTCATCATCCTCACTGAAAGTCACCCGTGAATTCTTCCTCTTCCTCTTTGGTCTCTGAATATCCAGATTCCCCTCCTCAATGGTGAGGGTGGAGATCCGCTTGTTGTGGGCAGTGTTGAACTCTGTCAGGTTCTAGGCCAAGGTTCACACAGGAAAGACAGGAGTCAGTACACAGAAGATCTGAGGAATATGTTCCTACATAAAGGGCAGGAAGGCATTAGGGGCTAACTCTGACTTCCCCAGGCAGACGAGATTCTCTTCTCTATTCAGAAAAAACTCATTACTGTCCCTAGATTGCTAATATTAACAAGATACCTTTGACAGAATGTGAGACGCCTTCTTTGACTAGTGGGGCAGTTGATATTCAAAAGGGGGTGGAGGCCGAGATCTGAGAACAGGCTATCTGTACAACCATCTTTGAGTTGAGGTTTTGAGCTTTTTTTTTCTTTTAAAGAAAGGCTATCACATTTTTATGCTGAGAATTAAAAGAATATGACTGCAAAGAACTCCAAGAATTGTTTTAAAGTAACAAAACAGAGACAAGAAAGGACAATTCACAGCTTCTTTCTTTTAGAACTCACAGGGACACTGCCAGTGCACTTAATGTTTGGCATGAACGTGCTGTCACTCCCCCATTCCTGCGTATGGCCCCATTTCTATTCATAACCATCCATCCATCTCAACGATTAACTTGGCCTCCGCACCGGTGCCTGCCTCTTCCCAATCCTCTGGACTCGCTCCAGTCTGCACTGCAGTTTGTGGTGTTCAAAATGCCTTGAGAATGAAGATGCAGACAGACCTCACACACTAAATCTCAAAGACAGAAAAGCATGGAAGAAGCCTGGAGGAAAAAGGGGCAAGAGTGGCTGCCATCAAGGCCTCTGGCTATGAGGCTACTTCTTTGTAACAAAATAACTTGCAAACTGTAAGATTTCCTTAAGTGCTTTTCTCCCTAAAGGCTGGGAAACTGCCTTAATGCACTAGAACAGTAAGTGCAAGTGGGTGGTTAAGGACATGCTTGCGTATGCTCTACCTGAATAAACCAGTCACACCCAGGCAGGGACAGACATGTAAAGGATGACAGCCACATCACAAACTATGGGGGTCAGCCTCTAGAAAACTTTAAAATAAAATACTGTAAAAATCATAGCATTCAGGGCAGCCAGGTCCATAAGAACAAGAACAGTCTAGTTCTATTCAGAAGATTCCTGGGTTATCTGGACAGTGTCAAAAAAGCTTCAGTCTAAGTCAGTGCTGTCCAAACTATCTGAATGATAAAAATGTTGTCTACCTGTGGTATTCAACACGAAGTCACCAGTCACATATGACTACCAAGTACTTGACATGCAGCTGGTAGCTACCACCATGGACAGTGCAGCTTTGGGAAAAATTCAACTCCCAGCCTTGGCTTCTAACATCCAGTGAAGGTGCATAAGAAAACCATGAGTGTCTACTGGCAAGAGACCTAGCCTCCTTGTCACCCCTTGTCATACATAACCAAACACACAATGCAGCTCTCCAACGTGTGTCAGTTGACCACACTAGTCTACCTAAGTGACAAAGGCCCATTACTGACATCAAGAAGATCTCCTGGCACTAAGTCATTGGCATTTTAAGCTACATACTGCCACCGGAGTCCCAAAGACAAAACAATGACATAGACGTGGAATTACATCAAGTTCGGTTTCCTCCTCTGGAAGCCCCAGTAAGCCCTTGAGTTCATCATCCTCTCCACCCATCTTCTCATCTCCTTTCACAGCCGATGGCAATGTCTGAGGCTTCTCTCGAAGAGTGTATGCCCTTGTGGATGCACCAAATGAGACTGTGGAATCGATGGGAATTTGCTGAGGCTTGTGAGGTTCCAATCGAATGTGACCCAAGAAAGTGCCGTGTGCTGGGAATAACCAAATCAAAAATGTAAGAGAAAAAAAACCAACCTGAGTTGTAGAAGGGAGAGCAGCTCCTCCCAGCATATCATTTCTGCTTTTTAAAATGAAAATGACACTGGGTCCACTTTGCATCCCTTGTCATGGGTCACAATGAAAAGGAAAACTCCTTCACTGGGTCTTGAATCTCTTCAGTGGAATTCTTACACATCTTCAGACCTGCTGTCACCCCATATAACAAACACCACTGCCTGCTCTCTGCTGCCAGGCAGGCTTGGCTCCATTCTGGGCCCAGCAGGAATGGCTCCGGCCCACCAATAACCATGCCACCCACAGCAGGAGGCAGGCATCGCTGTGGTCTGACCTCTCCAGCCCCAAGTCTAAGGAACACAGGCCCTGGCGGCAGTTATCCTTGGGTTTTCCCCAGGACAAGACAAGGAAGTTGGCTGAAACAGGTGTAATATGAATGCCAAGGCCAGCCAAAATCCTACTTCAGAGTCTGAAAACTTTTCCATGTCTGCATTCTGCGTGTTATAAAAACGGAGAGAAAAGATGAGATAAATTTGCAAGTAAGTACTTGTGAGACATGGCTCTCCAAAACCACTATATAGGCAGACTGGGCTGGGGTCCGTGTGGGGAAGTGAGGAGGGAGAACATGGGCAGCCCAGGAAGCAGGATCCTTTGAATTCCACACTGTACTCATATAAGGGAAAAATGAACAAACTTCAGGGTTCCATGTGGTTAACTCTCAATTGCATCTTGGGCAAAGTTGAAAACCTTATTAGTTGTAGTATGTTCACGAAATTAAAATTGATATTAGTAGGCAAAGCAGAATGTAGCTGGAGTAAATAACCCACTACAAGAAAATTAAACTGTTCAAAAGCTTTTTTTTAAATATCCTGCACCACTATTCTATTACATTAATGGAGCTAATCACAGCTTCTGCTTAAACTGGACCACAATTTATCAAGGTCCTACAAACACTTGGACTCCCGCGGCCCCCAGCCCTCGGGTATTTTTGTTGTTGTTGTTCTCTATCTCTACCAACTGCCTTCTCCAGCACAGTCCTCCCCAAAACCTTCCCCTCCAGTCACCAATTATTTCAGGAAAATTGGCGATATCACAGGAGTTGAGAAGGGCGGATTTAAAAACCAAACGTAAACTTCTTCCTTGATCAGTAATAAAACTCAACTTGGAAACTGAAGAACCCAGAGGGCACTTTCACACTGCCCAAAAGGAATGTGTGAGATGGGGATGGATGGGATGCCAGTACTTACTACTGTTGAGATCTATTAGGAAAACTCTCTTCAGATGCTTGTGGTAGACCAAGGCAGCATGGACCCGCGAGCAGGACTGGTGGTCAATGGTGAAGTCACACAAATCAGGGTTTCTCCCAAATAAGTAATACTTCTTCTCATCAATAATCAGTTTCTAAATAAACATTAGATTCAATATTACTCAAATCGTTTTGACAGGGTTTAGCAAACATTCTTCCAATCAAATAAACAGAGGATTATGAATAGATAAAATTCCTTGCCAAGGTGAAAAAAAAATTATTTCCTGTTATTCTTCAAGATAAAGAGCACAGAATAATTTACTAACATTTTGAGGGGTAGAGGCAATTAATCTTCCCAAATACAGTGGTCAAATGTCTAGTGTTGATTAAAAAAACCTGTCCTGCCCTGGCTGGCGTAGCTCTGTGGATTGAGTGCAGGCTGCGAACCAAAGCATCACAGGATTGATTCCCAGTCAGGGCACATGCCTGGGTTGCAGGCCACAGCCCCCAGCAACCGCACATTGATGTCTCTCTCCCTCTCTCTTTCTCCCTCCCTTCCCTCTCTAAAAATAAATAAATAAAATCTTAAAAAAAAGAGATTTGGACAGATGGAAACAGCCTGACTTCAGAGTCTAAGCTCTTTTAATCATGTTATATATTTTCTTCACTCTACCTGCATCAAAAAATGCACCATATGGCAAGGAACATTTTAACAAGTGAACAAATACTATAGACGCACTCTTGATTTTTTTTTAAAACAATCCCTTACCCAGTTTCTTTCAAGCTTTGCCTTAAGGCTCAATTAGTTCCAGCTAGTGGTATAGGTAAGTGGGTCACCTCTGGGAAACCCTGTCCAGCAGAGTGCCCCATCTGCTGCTGGCAAGGCTTGTTCCAGGTCCATACTATACTGCTGGGCAGCACCAAGAACTAACAGCCTGCAGCTCAGTAAGGCAATCATCCCTATGTGTGCTTAGACCCAAGTCTTAAGACTTGTGTTAAATATAAGACATTGCTTTAGAATTGAGAGAACTCTGAAATTTCAACATCTTATTCTCTCTGGGTAATATCCGGGCAGGCTGAATCTCATTGCATTTTTCATTCATGTGTATACACACACAGATTATGCCCTCACAAAATAAAATTTGCTAATCACAGTCCTCACTGGCTACTCTCAAGGAAAGAGTATATAAGACCACCAGCTCTTGGGTTCTAATATAACACTGACCAAATTGCTGTAATTCTGAGGTGTCAAACACATAACAGAAATATAGATGTTTGGGGGGGAAGCACAAAAGGGCTTTCAAATTAAATGTATACATTCATTAAAGGCATCTCAATTATAAAAACATGAACATGTAGTGGGAAAATAGTATGTCTTAGAATTGAGATTTGTTAACTCCTGGACAGTGTGCTGCTTCTGTTCAAGTAAATGAAAAAATGCACTGGTCTTTTTCAATAATCAGTAAAGCCAAAATTTCTTGATTAACTATGGCTAGTACCTTTATCCAGTTATGCCACTGAGTTATAACTCAGAGTGTGTCTTTATACACTGAGCTTAAAAGACTCATGGCTTTTGTTTCAATATTGCAGTTCTTAAACCCAGCTATCACAAGCCTTTGACACAAGGCTAGGATGTAGATTGTTCAGTTAGTATCAAGTGTTGCCTAAATCCTTAAAAATAAGCACATTGCAGATCTACTCCTCTCAGAAAAAGCACAGTGATGTCTAAAGATCGTAACTTGACAATTGCGTGGCAACTCAACACACCTAAGAGCAACGAAAGACAGAGAACACTATCAGCTAATGGAAACAGTAATCAGAGGGATGTTTGACAACTGATAGCACTTTGAAAATATAAATTATTTCACAAAGGAATATGATATTAAGGCTAGGCCTCCTCTTCTGTTTCTTCCTGTTGCACAATGGAGCCTTATTAAATTCTAGTAACAAAACAGATTCTTATGTCCTCAAAGCTTCATGCTATTTAGCAACAGTACTTTATATCTGTGAAACAGTCTACAGTTAAAGAGGCTTTACAGATATTTTAGAAAAATTATTTCATTGAATAATACTGTTTTGTAACTTTTAAGACAGAAGAACTCTACACAGATGGTGAATTACAAAACTGTACACCTGAAACATATCATTTCATTAACTAATGTCACCCTAATAAATTCAATTATAAATAAATAAAATAAAATAAAAAGATAGAACCACCCATGACAAAGGGGCTTAAGTGACTGGCTGTGGGCACGATGAATAAAAAAATTCATCACAACTCATGCCTTAATACTTTGTAAAATACTGGGGTATTTCTACAATATTCTGAAGTGACAATACATTTACAGAACATCATTCAGAAGATCTCACAGATAGCTTTTCAACCATGGAACAATGTTTTTACTATATACACTCAGAAGTGGGACCCTGAACCTAAATTCTATTCGAGCAAGCAAACATAAAAGTGGTCTAAGAGATGGAGACGCACAACTCCATGGTCATAGCAGGCTTAATCTCCATGCTTGGTAAATAAATAGCGCCATAAGAATTCAACGAAAACACAACCAAACCATACACAACCTATTAGCTAATCAAAATTTATGTTCTCTTCAAGTTCTATGGGGTGTTCATTCCAGAGACTTGTAAAAAATCTGGAATTCTGCTAAACTTTGTCTTTATACTACTTATTTCAATTATTATCATGGAATTTTTTATGTGATGTGTCTTTCCCACCAAATAATTTCCTTGAAGGAGGAAACCATGTTTTATTCACTGCTGAGTACAATAACTGGAACACAGTAAGCACTCAATGTTTTGAATAAATGAATAAATTTCACCAACATTCCATTCTCTTCATTCAAGGGCTTGAGCCTGAATATCACAAAAACAACTTAAAAGTTACACTTAATCTACATCATTCACTTCTTTTTTAGTTATTTCATATTTTCAATTTATTTATTTATTTATTTATTTATTTATTTATTTATAGACAGGGGAAGAGGAGGAGAGAGACAGAAACAGTAATGTGTGGTTGCTTCTAGTGCGCCCCCTACTGGAAACCTGGCCCGCAACCCAGCATGTGCCCTGACTGAGAATCAAACTGGCGACCTTTTGGTTCGCAGGCGGGAGCTCAATCCACTGAGCGACACCAGCCAGGGCCAGTTATTGCATATCCTGCACCTTCCACACAATTCCATGTACTTATATAGAGAGAATTCACTAAGTAAGTTATAGGGCTTCCAGTTTGATTAAGGTCTATAGGCCCAAGATCTATTAAAAACTCGTCATTTAGAAGGTGAGAGAAGTCACAAAAAACAGAGTGTCTGTGCGAGATATGAGGTATGAATGTGTTATATCACCAGGTGCTTTTAATAGAAAAAAATCAGGATGAACAAAAGTAGCACTGCTGGAAAACAAAGCACAGGAGAGGGGGTGGAAAAGTGAGCCACTGGCAAAAAATCTTTAGTGTGGTAGGAAAAAAGGGAAGACATGTATTTCCAAACCTCAATTAGTTTGTCTCCTTTGACTACATCCAGATGTAATCCAGGTGGGGGTTTACCTGCCCTGAAAAATAAGAGGGAAAAAGCATTTTCAGGATGAGTTCATAAGTGCCACTTACAATTATTGTCCCATTCAGCACTGGAGCTCTCCTATCAGCCTATAATTAGTTCATGTTTCAAACAGAAATGTCATCTACTTCACTGTTATTACAGCTCCTTTCTAAGTTTGACACTTACTTCCCCAGTGATTCAATTGCTCTAAAAGAGATTTTAGTGGATCTGTATTTAGAGCAGCACCAAAGAAACCTATATTTTAACACTGGCTTTCTACCTCAGCAAGACAGCGGCGTAGAGTCCAAGTACTATAGCTGGGGTAGTCTGATCATTTGAATGAATCTCAGCTTTGCCACTACCACTAATACCATATAAAGGTTGAATAAATCCATTGGTGTTTTGAACTGATCAAGAGCAATCCCATCACAGAATAAGTAGACCTCTGAGACCATATCACAGGTACATAATTAGGGAATTCAGGCAACCCGATATCATGCCCCTGAGACCAGGTAACAACAAATACAAGAGATGGCTCTTACCCTTGAACAGGTCATGCTATAATGGCTTTTCTAAGGGAACTTTCTCTCTATATTCCTATAACCACAGTATTCAAGGGGGGTACACAGGACAAAGCACCTAACAAAGTGCCTGGTGAGTAACAGCCTGAGGAAATGGTAGGTCACCTGTCTACTGTAACTGTAAGTTTACTGTCCTGGTCCAACTTCTGAAATTGATGCAGCAGGGAACCAAAACTGACACAAAATTTGTAGAGTGAAGTAACTGGGTGTTACGAAAAATGCAAGGACATCCAGAAAACGGCCACATTCACTTGCTTCCTATGTTTGCTCCTTTGAAGTTTGTCCTTACATTTGCATTCAAAAAGTGTGTATGTATCTGTTCATCTAATCGAAGAGGCAACATAGTCATCTCACAATTCTGTGCTGACTCCTCTATGGCAGTTGCTGAAGGGACAGTGCCTTGGACAAAGGCCCATTTTGTCTGGGAAACAGGAAAAGCAATGTTACATCCAAAACATCCTTTCTGAACCCCTACTAGGTGCCTGGTTGAGGCCTAGGAGCTGGGAACATAAAGATGCATCAGAGAACCCTTGTCCTTGAGGATCTCAACATAACAAGAGGCAAAGATTAACACATAAACAATATACACTGTGGAGAGTTGCAGCAGAAATAGAGCTCTAACTCAGATGGGGCTTCTGGCCAGGCAATTCATAGTTATTCATCCTGTACTCTACTCAAAGACTAAATTAAATTATTCCATTATTCCCAAGAACTTGAGAAAGGATGAAAGGGGCTCCTTGTAACAATTACTGATGCCCACTTGTGTCCGGCTTCGTGCTGGTCGCTGGGAACACAGGGGTAGGTCGGAGCCGTCCCTGCCCTCAGGGAGCTCCCAGGCTCGAGAGACAAACACGTACCGGGCCAGGCATGCCGCACGGCAGGGGATGCGGGGCTCTGAGGTCGGGCTAGGGCCGGGACGCCGGCTCGTGCGCGCTCGGGACAGGTAGGGTGCTCTACAAGAGCACTAGTCAGTCTGGAGTTGAGGTAAGTTCAGGGCCATGGCCCCGAAGCGCTCCGGCAAACGGCTCACGGACGGAGGGGCTGCGTAAGCGAGCACCTCAGAATCCCCCAACTCTGGGTTTCTTCAGTGCCTGGGCCCGGGCTGCCGGTTCCTCCGCACGCCGCCCGGCCCGACGAACTGTTCTGCCTCATCAGTCCCAAGGTGTCTGAGCCTTTCGGCCCGCTGGGAGAAATAAGCCGCCCAGCCCGCTCTGGCCGGGCCAGGCCAGGCCACTCCACCCTGGTCGCCCCGCCACTCACCAAGTCGGGCAGTCGAACAGCGGGAGGCTGGAGCCAGAGTTCGCGGCTGCCGCCATCTTGCGTCTCCCCCTCCCATTTGGCGGGCTCGAAGCACGCCGGGAAACTGGAAGACTCAGTGGGGAGAGGCGGCATCCCAGTATCCTGTGCGTACGCACGCGAGCGCGCACGCACGCACGTACCGGGCGCTTTTAGTGGCGGTGTGGACTGGGATGATTTTGAGGTGTGTTTCAGTGTTTGAGACAGTTATCCTTCTCTGGAAGAGTCTCCGAAAACTAGTTTTCCGTAGCTGGGAGGTGTCTGAGGAAAAGGTGCTTTTAAGGAGAGGTGTAGGTCCCCCCATACCTCTGAGCTCTTAAATCTTCCCACTCCATCCTTGCTACAGGCTTGCACCCCAATCTGGAGAGGAAGGAGCTAGAGCGCAGAGCTCAGAAATTGCAGTGATCATTCATTCTGTTTCTCTTCCGGCACTTCTCTGCAGAGCTGCAAGGTCACTTCCCCTTCCTAATCCAAACCTGGGCCTCGTGGGCTTCGTTCGGTAAATTAATTATATGGGAATCCGCTTTAGAGGGGTCAGATATTTTGCCATGTACAATGCGATCCCGTGTGTGACGTGCACCCACGTCTTTGGCCCAAACTTGCAAGAAAAAAAAACTTATAATTTTAAAATTCAATTGTTTATTTATGTTTAGATACTTGTTTTTTGTATTATAAAGGAATTTCAGCATTTATTTTGAACATATTTTATGTAACCAATTACAAAAGAACAGATACTGGTGTTTCAGGTTATAATATGTATAATATTGTATCCTTACAATATTGTATCCATGTATAATATGTATCCTTATTTTTCCCTCAAAAATTTGGGCAGAAAAGTGCACATTATACATTGCAAAATAGTCTGTTAATGAAATAAAGTCTGGACAAGGTAGAGCCAGGAACAATTTGACCAGAAGACAGGCATTCAAATCTTCAATAGTAATCAAGCTGTGGCCCCGTTAGATTTGTAAGTTTTGGTTATGGTGACTAAATCATGAAAGGAAACACGATTCAGGCCTACCCTGGGTCAATGGCTGATTGAGAGACTATCAGCAGGGCCCCTGGTTATAATGGCTTTGTCTGTTGGGTGCTTGCTTCTTTGGGCAAGTATGTATTTTATATGGATCATCTCATTTAAATCTTCATAACACTCTTGAGATAGGTATTATGATCGCTGAGTGAAGGTTCAGAGAGATCGAATTGCCCAGCCTCACTCTAGAACAAAAGGTGAGTGGGATTCACACCTAAATCTGGATGATGGCAAAGGCATGCTCTTTAATCAGCTGTCCTGCACAATTAGATGTTGATACAATCATCTTTATTATCACATACTAATGCCCAGTTTTCACTTTTGTAGAAAGCATGGATTCTCTGACCTGTTGTTTTCTTCAAGATTTTATTTATTTATTTTTAGAGAGGGGAAGGCAGGGAGAGAAATATCAATATGTGATTGCTTCTTGGACCTCCCCCACTGGGGACCTGGCTCACAACCCAGGCATGTGCCCTGACTGGGATTCGAACTAGCAACCCTTCAGTTCACTGGCCAGCACTCAACCCACTGAGCCACACCAGCCAGGGCCGTTTGTTTGTATTTAAAGAAATTAATTGAAAATTGTTCACCCAGAGTTACTGCACATGATCAGGGAGTTATTTCTTTTCTTGATTCCCTTTTACTGGCCCTCGATTTTAAACTGAACATCAACCTGTTCAAAGATTTTGCCCTTAATGACATCTCCAGGGATCAAGATTTAACTGCAACACAATAACTTGGATTTTAAAATGATCAACTCTTAGGCAGGTAGGAGAATCACCTTTTCCTCTGGCCTTCAAAAGCACAATAAACTCATCCAGCAAGGATATTAATCGATCAGATGACTTACCAAATGACCTATAAACATCCTCTTTTCCAGCTTGTGATTCCAAAGATTAGACTGAATGGGGAAAATACAAATTCTAAACCTGGTTTCAAGTAAACAGACTATGGCTCTCCTCTTGAGCATGGGAACATGATTCTTGAGAGGGAATTAAATAGTCTCAAAAGTGTTTTGAGTGTTAACAGAAAAGGACAAGTTTCTTTTATTTACAGAGGTTGTGCAGGCCTTGGAGGTTCTATGCCTCTTTAAGGTGTGAGGTGCTATTAAAGCCATTTCTAGCTATGAGTGACCTGATAACATCTACGTCAACTTTGCCTTTCAATTCTCAACTTCCTTGTGTGGTCCATTATTTAATCCTTTCTATTGCTGACTATCCAACCCAAGAAATCGAAAGCTGTATTCTTACCCTTGTAATTCTTTACTCCTTGGTCATGTTTTCTGCTTTCAGCACAGCTGATATTTACACTGGCTTGTGATGTGAGGGCACCTTGCACTTACCTAGGCCTTATAAAGCAAAAGGCTCATTGTTTGGGCACCAATGATGTCAGTATAGATGAGCAAATTGGAGGGCATCAGTCTAGGGTCTAGACTCTAGACCCTTAACCTTTGAAATGGAAAGGCTGTTGGCTAGCAGCTTTTGGATTTTGAACAAAGACAGATTAATTTCTCAGACATTGAGACTTCCTTAGAGTAGAATCTAAGACATTAGGAGCATATTGATGTCAAAAAACTTTCTTTTTTCTTACATTTTATTTATTTTTAGGGAGAACGAAAGGGAGGGAAAAGAGGACATCGATGTGAGAGAGAAACATCAATAGGTTGCCTCCCGTACGTGCCCCAGCAGGGGACTGAACGCCCAACCAACTGTGCCACACAGTTCAGGGCCAGAAAACTTTCTTAAACACAAAGGATCAAAAGGAGACACAAAAAACAACTGTGTATATATATGGCACAAGCAGGAGGCTTCATTTATCTTGGGGGTTAATGAAAAGTTCACAAGGTACTAACAAAAGGATGTCCATGAAAAATTGGGTGAAACTGCCATCACTCCAGATTTTTAGAGAAAGCTTCATGGAAGAGGTGGTGAGTAGGATAGTTTGTATCAATGATGCTCGAAGACAGTGTCTAGTGTTGAAAGGTGTGGTTTTCAAGTCTGAGTGCTTGAGATCCAGTCCTGGCTCCATCATTCCTAAACAGTGCGCCTATAGACAGGTTATTTACCATGTCTTGTTTTCCTAATCCATAAAAAGGGGACAAGAAAAATATATGTCCAAAATGATTTTGTGGGTATGAAATATTAAATACAAAACATCTGCCCTGGCTGGTGTAGCTCAATGGATCGGGCATGAGCCTGTAAACCAAAGGGTCGCCAGTTCGATTCCCAGTAAGCACATGTGCCTGGGTTGTGAGCCAGGTCCCTGGTGGGGGGGCACGTGAGAGACAAACACATTGATGTTTTTCTCCCTCTCTCCTTCCCTTCCCTTCTCTCTAAAAATAAATAAATGAAATCTTTAAAAAAAAAAAAAACAAAACATTTAGCATAGTAAACTGCTGGTAGCAAGAGCTCAAATATTACCCCACAAGTGACCATTCACATGTAGAGCAATCCCTTAAGCCTTTCAGTTCATGTAGTAGACTGCCATTCCTGGCCTCAACTTCTTCAGTTGTGAAGTGATGGGGCAAGTCCAAATGAGCAAGCAGTTCAGACGTTAGAGTTGTCATGGACCAGGAAAAAATTATTGGACTGTTGATTTTTATTGTGCCAACTAAGTAGGTTTAAGAAATGAAGATGGCCAGAGTGTACTTTCCCTTTCCACCAGAGACTGAAGATTGTGCTTTCCAGGCTGAGCTGGAATGCAGGTGCCTTGCCAGAGAGGAGTGGAGCAGAGCAGGAGCAGACTAGCGTGAAGCACAGCAGACCTTCCTGGAGCACAGCGGAGCAGAGCTGGGTGGAGAAGGGCCTGGCCCCAGAGCTCGTCCACAGCAGTACTGTTTTCAGAGCTATGCTGTATTGCAACTGTGCTGTTTTGCATTGAATAAAGTTTCCTTCTTTACCATATGCTCCCCACACCCTCAAAAAACTAAAAAAAAATAAATAAAAATGAAGACTGCCATCTAGTATCACCACCTTTTCATTATTATAATCTTGAAATACCCTTGTTTTAAAAAGTTGGAAGGTGCCCTGGCTGGTGTAGCTCAGTGGATTCAGCACAGGCTGCAAACCAAAGGGTCGCAGCTTTGATTCCCAGTCAGGGCATATGCCTGGGTTGTGGGCCAGGTCCCCAGTAGGGGCCATGCGAAAGGCAAACACATTGATGTTTCTCTCTCTCTCTTTCTCCCTCCCTTCCCCTCTCTAAAAATAAATAAAATCTTAAAAAAATAAAAAGTTGAAAGGTCATTAGCTTAGCCTCAAAGATAGTACTTTAAAAAGCCTATTATATCACTTTTCTCATGTCTCTATGGACTGGTAAAAGCTTGGTCCTTAATCATAGTCCAACATTAAAAATTCTATTATTTCAAGTTTATCTTTAAAAATTAAGTGCTACATTGTCAATCAAACTTCATTTTGGGTATTTAAAATGAACTATTCACCTGCCTTAAAAGTAAGATCAGAGGCTGGGAATCAAAAACCTTTCAAACCAATTCCTGGTTAAATGGAGATTTCAAAGTAGTTGTGTTTCATAGCACTGGAAGGCAATACTGAAAAAAATCTCTGAAACCTAGAGATACTAGGAATCAGGACAGACTGAAAACTGAACTGGGTTCTGGTCCACATTTAGTGACCAAAAGCAAAAGCTTCATTCCCATGACTGAGGCCAGCCTCTGAACAGAAGAACAAAGCTGCAAGGAGAAGGCTGAGGGTGTTTTACTTTGCACTGACTGAGTGATAATTTCCCTTTGATATTTTTGCTCAATGGTAAAACAGAGTGTCACCACCCCTTAACAAAACAAGACAAACCTACCCTGGAAACATCAGTCTAGCAGCTAACGAGTTCTTGTTCTGGAACATTCCCAGAGAAAGTAGTCAGCCTGGCATTTCTACTTTACCATATACAGTACTACAGTTTTAATTGACTTAAAGAGGGAATGCCAGATCTGTCCAGTACTTCTCAAACATTCCATAAAAGAAACGAGGAAAAGGAAAGGAATACAGAAGCAAACAGAATGTGTATGTTTAGACCAAACCCCTGTGGTCCTTATAATCAGAGAATTTCACAACTAGAAGAGAGCTGTTGCTAAAACTTGGGGCCTATGGGTTAGGTGACTTTTCCAAATACCTACAGCAAGTTAATGGCAGAGCTAAGATTCTCTAGGCCTTCAGTACCCAAGTCTAGCTTTTGACTTCCACTCCAGTGGTTCTTAACCATGGCTGTACATGAGAATTAGCTGGACCTTTCAAAGGCCCCTATGCCTAGCCTATATTCCAAATTAACTACATTAGAACCTTTTGGCAGGGGTACCCAGGTATCAGTAGTTTTCTAGTCTTTAATGTGAAGCCATGGTCAAGAAACATTGTCCTGGACCATGGTGCCCACAATGACGGGGGGGGGGGGGGGGGGCGGGGAACACAGATAAGGATTCTATGAATAGGCTTTTAGGATCATCTGACCTCTTTGCAACTGCCACAAATTCCAGGCCATTCAAATTCTAGGCAAGGTCATATTTGCTACCTATGGTCACTATTACCACCACCACTGGATTACACAGTATTACAGAACAGAACTACAGTGGCTTCATTTTACCCAAATGCAAATAGCTTTTCACAATCAAGACTTTTTATTGCCTGGAATGTTACAAATGATGTATCCAAGTCCAGCTATAATTTGGAGCTGAAGGGGCATGGATCATAGAACCAAGGAATCAGCTCTGAAGTTGCTGCCCGGGCCACTGTGACTCCCCAGCAGCTCTGCATCCTGGTTTTCAAGGACGGGACCGCAGCAGCCCTGTTCCACCCCCACACCAATCCTCCCAATCTCCGGTCTTCCTGCAGGTCTCAGCTTTTCTAGAGGACAACACATGACCTAATAACTACCCCGTTAGGAAAGTAACTCATAAAAACTTACTACAAAAGTTTTTAAAGTGTTTATTTGTATTAAGTGGGTAGAATGGTGCAAGAGTGCAAAAAAACCTTACGCATTTGGGCCCTTGTTTCCCTACTGTTCACATGAGTTTAGTAAAAGAAGGTTAAGGAACATGAAAAGGAATGGAAGAAATTAATATAAATATACCCATGGTAGTCAAATCCTCTAATTCACTTAAGGACAAACTGAAATTCTTGGCCCAATTCACATTTATGTGAGAGGTTAAAGAAATCACATTCCCTTTCACTGTCCTAGACCTGTGAAAAAGGGAAGTGAACAAATATTTATATTACAAGACAACAATCTTTTATTGAAACATTTTTTTGTCTAAAACTATGAGAGATTAATTCCTTGTTCATAAATTAAGTCTAACATCACTATTCCAAACCAGTATTATTTACAAAAATGAACCTTTCTTTTGCCTTATCGCCAGGTTCACAGCACTAAATTTTAAAACAACTTCAGTTTAGCTTTTAAAATCTTCCTGCCATCAAATACCCAGCAACCCTTACAGGGCTGGGCGGTGTTTGGGCTGCAACATTCATCATTCACCAGAAATGCAGAACCACAACTGAACGACACCACCAAAAAGATTAAATCATTCTACACAACTCCTAGTGGCTTTCCAAAAGCATGCTTTGTCTAATTATCCCTTTCTATACAGGCAGGTGGAGAGGGACACCTTGGAATATAGTAATGCTAATGAAATTAGTCTCTTCAGACAGTAAACATGATGGTTTAGTGTGTGTATGGGTGAGCTGCTGTGGATGACATCAGCAGGTAATAAAGCAAACTTTATACCCAGAGTAATGTGTACCTCAACACCTGGTAAGCTCACCTAGATACTTCTCATTTAATCTGGACCACATGTGCAATTTTTTACTTTCTAGTTAAATACACTGCCAAAATCTTTCCAAGCAGATGGAGAATAGGCTTCTTAAAAATTCAACTTAAAATGTTAAATAATAAAAACTGCTGGCTTCTTTTACGTTTCTGACAAATTCCAATATGCTGGGTGCCAGAAAGTAATTCTCAGTTGCTAGTAAAAAGGTAAATCTTGTGTATACATAAAAAGACAATTTACAAGACTGTAGTGTCACCTGTTAAAACAAGAATATCTAGAATGAAATTTTCAGTAAACATTTGGGATAAAGGGCAATCAGAATAGAAGAGAAAGCAAAATACAAATCAATTCCTAATTTGAGAAATCAGTACAATGTATACATAAATGGATAATTACTGCCTCTAGAGGTCACTAATTCCAAGGACTGGTTAGTAGTTTCTAACTAAATAATTACAGGACGTTCTGATATATGCTCTCTTCCTGTGATCAGTTTGTTCTGGCAGACTCCAGCAAGCACTTGCCCTTGAAAACAGTTCAGTGGGAGAAGGCTCCGAAGCAATCACTTTCCATAAACTATCCACATAACAAGTGCGAAGACAGCAACAATCACTGACAGGACAAGCACCAGGATACAGATCTTCTTGCGAGATTTTTTCTGAGAAGAGAAATGTGTGCAGAAGATACTCATGAAACAAGTAGGATTTTTTTATTCTAAGAGTGCTTCATAAATCTGCCTCCTGGTAATTCGAAATTTACTCTCTCCATGAATAAATATGCAGAGACCTGCCCAAAACCTTAACAGTTACCACAGCTAGGCAGTGGTGCAACTTTGGATTCCAGGTTCCCAAATACAATTTAGCTAGGCATTATTTGCAATAAAATAACTTATTTGTGCATATGTATATTAATAAAGGTTTTATACCTATTATAAAATGTTATGTTTGTTATAAAAAATACAGACAGGCAGAAAGAAAATAATCACCCACAGATAAAGGTACTGACATTTTGACTATATTTCCTCCTGATCTTTTACCGAAACAAACTGTTATTTCATATAATTGGGATCATACTGTATGATGTTTGATGTTTTTCTCACTTAACATTTTAGCATAAAATTTTTGTTATTATAAACCTTTCATAAACACCTCTTTTAATTCCCACATAACACTGAGTAGATGTAGATGATTTACTTTATTCCTTTGCTGTTGGATACTAAAGTCATCATTTAGTTTTAAAAGGAAACACTATTATTAAATACAAATTTAAGAATATTCCCAGGTAAAATACAGCTATCCTAGGAAATGGAACAGGAAAAATGACTGAAATGCTAGTTATTTCTAAAAAGCCATGCAACACCACATTGAGAAATGAGATGGACCTCATTCATAGTATCTGTACACAAAGACCCAGATGAGTCATAAAACCAGTTTCAACTAGTATGTAAAAGAATGTCACGTTATAGAAAGTAAAGCAATCAACCCCTATTTATTCACAGATTAAAAAAAAACCCAAATGATAAACCCCTACTTATTCACGGGTAAATAGCCATCAGAGCTGATCCTACATCCACTCTCTATGGCAAAGTCAACAGAAAGTGTCTGCAAAGTCCTACTTTGTATCAATCGTCACCCTAACTGAAACAGAGTTCAACTGTTTAGGACTTAAAAGTAGCCTTCAACCAGATTTAAGTATCAAGCTAGCTTCCGGGGGTTAGCTCTGTAGCTAACAGGCTTTTATATAAGTTTATCCAAGGTCTGATGTCTTTTTGTAGATCTCTCTGCAAAAGAAAATACTAAAAATGGAAGTGGAACTGCAATTACATCTTCTTGCCTCCAACTAAAGCCTAAGCAAAGGGCTGCAACTATGCTCAATGTGTTAACTCATCGCAGTGATTTCCCACCAGTGCGCTACAATTTTTAAAACATGCAACACCTGACTATTTAGTCAGGGGCACTGATCTCTTTTCCCTTAGTCTGTCAAATAAAAAAATGACAACCAAAACAACAACAGCCATCCAGTGTGAATGAATAAAAATTATTCTTATTGAAAATCACTAGTCTATTCTGATGGCCCATAAAGTCTGTGGTACAGAGTGACTTTCTCGGGTACCTTCTTTTACCTGATAGTAAGCAGCTCGCTGTAACTGGTCAGTGGCTCTTTCCACATGCACCTCTGAGCTTTCCACATTGGCTTCTATGCTATCTGCAAAAAAGGAAGGCAGTGGACATTTTACCAAACTCTGGTGTTTCAAGACTGCAAATTCAACAAACTTCTGATGGGTCCTGGTTTCACCACCACCATTGCAACTATCCAGCCACAATATCAAACGTTACTAACCCTGTAAGAAATAGCCCTATTCTTTGGAAATAAACACTGAAATGTGTAGGGGGAAGGGTTATGAAGTATGCAACTTACCTACAAATGGTTCAGAAAAGTTATGTATATACATTTGACAAGAAAAAAAATTCTAAGGTTTTCTAAATTAAAACTATAGCAGCTGCAGAGTAAGATAAAGAGACAGTTAATCTGTTAATAGCCATGGACCAGCTCTGACAAAAGACTGCTCACATTTATGCATATCTGTTGGAATTTAGTTTTAATTTCCAGGTGGCTATTTCTACAATTATCTAAAAGAGAGAATAGCCAGGTGCCATGGAACCCCAGAAGCCTCGGCTTCTTATTTACATATGAACATTCCAACCTGCTGCCCACAGCTAATTCACAGGAGTGGACACTTCTTTCTTGGGGACTGCACCTACCCCAGAACTGACCTTGCTTCACCTTCTCCCATCCCCTTTGTCACAGCTAATGTCATCCTTTCAGAAGGGCTTCCATCTTTCTCCCCACTATCGGATACATAAATGCTGGCAGAACTCCAGGATGACGAACGTGCTGTCTTTCCTACCTAGCCATGCTGCTGGGGGTTTCAACTCTATGCCCCAAGACTGGTCTTTTTTTGCTAGCAGTGGCCTAATAAACCCTTTTCTTTTAAAAAGGCTTTCAGCCATGGAAATTAATTTTTTTTTGTTTGACACATTATATAGAGAAAAAGAGTAAGAGCAAATAAAAAGCAAATGAGGTAGAATATTAACAAGAGGTAAGCCTGGGTAAAGATTACAAAGGACTTCCTTGTAGCATTTTTGCAACTTTTTATGAACTTGAAATTATTTCCTATTAGAAAGCTTAAAAAAGGACTTACTAATCCCAGAATTGTGAAAGTTTCTAGAAATAAAGTTGGGAAGCTCACAGCTACTACCCTAAACAGCAGAAGACCTACCACGAGGCTACGGCAAGTAAATGGAGCTGAATACCCACTGAGGCCTCACTTTAACTTCGACATTTGACGACGTAAGAGAAATGCTAAGAAACCGAACTTAATAATTTTTAAATGGCATTCCTAAGACACATTTTACTGACTTCTCTGCACACAAATATTACTAACTCACCTTGAGTTAAAGGTACTAATAATACATACCAATCAGGTCGCCTTGGTCATGGATCATCATAGCTAAATCTTTAAATATCTGATTGACATCCAAAATGTCAGCCTAAGGAACACAGAAAACAACTAATATTGAGCAACATGTTAGAGATTCAGCTCCTCTACTTACCTAAAGTTAGTAACATACCTAAAGCTATTAACATAACACATGTGTTTTTAAGGCTTATAAATCATGTGTAAGTGTTAGTTACTATTAACTATTACTTACTTGGTCTGCATGACAACCCAATGAGACATGTATTGTCTCCATACTATAGAAGAGAAAATTGGGGCTCAGAGAGGCTTAATGACTTATATACTAAGGTCTCACAGCTAGCAAGTGGCCAGACTGAGAATTAAAAGTTCGTGATGTTTTAGTTATGTTACTATGCCTCCTTTATATTTAAATTAATTGTTCAGTAACTCTATTAAGTAAGTATCTTTGAGGATAATGGGGCTCAAAGAGGTTAAGTAACTTGTCCAGTCACATGGCTTGTCAGCGAGAAAATGAAGCATCACAGCTAGGATTATGTCTCTAAAGCCCATCTCTCTTTTTTTTTTTTAAACTTTAAAGACATTTGCCATACTTGGGACAGTGTGCTAGTTGCTGTAGATACAAAAGGGCTTAATAGCTGACTGGGACTTGAGGGGATTAGCTCACACAACATTAATAAGAAGGGCTTTATGTGGGAAATGACTAATAAATGGTATACAGAACATTGCTTAGGGCAGACTTTGCAGAAGAGGTAGGACTTGAGTTGTGCCTTATAGCTGAAGAGAAGCCATATAAACAGAAAGGTAACTGTGTTATTAGAGCCAACAGGCCCAGCCTGGTTATAACATGGATATGATATATATTTGGTCTTCATCCCATTCCCTTTACAGAGCTCCTAAAACCTGTGGAACTCCCTAAGTGATCAAAGACAAAGGTGTCTTCTGTTATTTATTCATAACAAGCCCCATTCAACCACACCAGAATTCACTCTAAAGACTGGACTTTTGAGGACCTGACTGGTGTGGTTCAGTGGGCTGGGCATCGTCCAGCAAACCAAAAGGTTGCGGTTCAGTTCCCGATCAGGGCACATGCCTGGGTTGTGGGCCAGGTCCCTGGCTGGGGGCGTGTGAGAGGCAACCGATGGATATTTCTCTCGCTCATCAATGTTTCCCTCCCTCTCTTTCTCCTTCTCTTTCCCTCTCTCTAAAAATAAATAAATAAAATCTCAAAAAAAAAAAAAAACCCAAAAAAACCTTGACTTCTGGATAGCCCCTAAGGATGGGGGATAGTTGCCAGGGGAACGAACCTTGTGATTAGGTGGTTGGAACTTTCAGCCCCAGTATGGGGAGGGGAGGGGTACTGGAGGTTGACTCAATCTCCAGCGGCCAGTAACGTAATCAACCAAGCCCACGAAATGAAGCCTCCATAACAGTCCTGCACATGGGGCTCTGAGAGTCCCGGGCTGCTGAACACATGGAGGTCCTGGGAGAGCGGCACACACAGAGAGGGCATGGAAGCCCCGCGTCCCTCCCCCCACACTCTGCCCTGGCGTCTCTTCCATTTGTCTATTCCTGCGTTGCATTCTTCTATGAGAAGCCAGTAAGCTAGCCAGGAAGTTGTTTTCCTGAGTTCTGTGTGCCACTCTAGCATATTAATCAAGACCAAGAAGGGGGTTTGGGAGCCTCCAAGTTAGAGCCTACACCCTGTCAGTCAGAAGTACAGGTGACAATTTGGACTTGCTACTGGCGTGTGAAGTGTGGGAGTGAATTCAACCTTCGGGAGCTGGTGCTAATTCCCGGTAGATAGTGTCAGAATTGAGTTAAATTGTAGGATAGCCAGCTGGTGTGGCAAAACTGCATGATGTGGAAAAAAACCCACACTTTTGGTGGCCAGAAGTGTCAGAAGCGTAGTGCGAGAGTGCAGGAGACACGCGGGAGTGTGTTGTTTTCTCATCAGAACAGGGCTGGTGTGTCAGACATAGGGAAATAACTGAACATGGAAACCGAGCCTGGTTAAGGACTGTGGAATTGACTCTGTCAAATGCGAAGTGCCCCTCCCATTCCTGACGCCCACTAGCTACAGTGCTCACCTTAGCTCACTGTGTCTCACTCCCTACTGTAGCAGTGTTTCTGATGTTAGCGAGCCAAGTCGATGATTAGTAGCAGTAGGTGAAAAAAAGAAAGATACAATATCTTTGAAGGAAATTAAATAATCAAACTTGAGGATGAACTGTCCCATTTAAGACCAGGTACTGATGGGATCCAGGGCACAGTGGGTCTCAACCCTGACTGCATATTATCATCTGGAAAATTAAAAAAAGAAAAAAGAAAAAATCCATGCCCAGGGCCTCTTGTGATTTGCCCAGTTTTAACCTACAAAAGACAGGAGGTTCACAAAGTCCAAACTAATAATTGGTGTGTAGAGCATGAGAGCTAAGGCATTAAAAAACTGTCCAAGTGATTCCAATGTGCTGTCAGGGTTCAGAGCCACAGGTGAAGGTCAAGGAGGAGTTCAAAGTTTCTCCTCTCTACAACCTTCCTTTCCCTACCGCCCCTTCAGGGATGGCAGTCCTCTGGTCTAAGGATGTTTTACTGGTCACTGCGCAAAGTTACAGTGGGAAACTCAGGTAAGAAAGGCCCTAATATCTCCCTTTCAACCGCCACCTAAAACCTGTTCTACTTTCTCCACCCCACTGAAGTGATATCCACGATTTAGGATTAGAGTTTGGGATGCACAAAAAAGGAGCAAACTTCTTGGCTTACTTTTATTCTGAGCTACTCAGACTAAGCAAAGGGGCTCCCAGTAGAGCCCCACCTAACCCAGGGACTGGCACTGAGGTTTGGGGGTAAAGTCTTAATGAGCAAGACAATATCTGTTTGCCTTGCTCTGCTCTCCATGCATATTCTCGTGGACACCATAGAAGACATGGTGACTGAGAAAAGGAACTGGGTATTCTTGGGAACCGTGGCCAATTACCACCATAACAGTTGTTCAAATTCACCACTGATTACACTGAAACATAATATCCAAATCACACAGTGACTCACTTCATGTTTTCTCATAATCACTGAGAGAAAACCCAGGTGGATTATACAGTATAGATACATCAAGTGAAACAAAAAAAAACATGACCTCTCACCTCCAGCTGCCGAATCGCTGTTTCCCTCTCTTTAATAAGTTCCAGATCCTGTTCGGTGATGGCCACTTCATCCTCCTGGCTCTGCATCTGGTTCCATTCCTCGTGGCTACAGGGGGACAGGCACTCTAGTTCACTCCTCCTCTCAAAGGTGTGCACGAGACACCTACAACATCTCTATGGCCAAAGAGCCTACCCAAGGACAAATCCTCCGGTATCGATCAACGCAAGGCCCCTCGGGGCTGCACTCTGCATATCCAGAGGCAAAGGGCCCGATAACACCAAGAAAACAAAGTCCCAGCTTTCGCAGGTGAGACCGAGATGAGGCAGAATTATGAGGCATGGGACTCCCTGCTGTTTCCATTTGGGGGTACACTCTACAGTCTTGCTAGGGCTTGCTAGACAAGGACAATAGGCAGAGATTTGAAGTCAGTGAAGCATATACTGGCCCGTTCTCTTCCAGGGCACTCTCGAAGTGCTAGCTGTGCGGCTATCTCGGGCACTAAATGGAAGGAGAAGAGGAGGCTAAACGACCTGGCAGTCCAACAGAAAGACACCTCCTGGTTTTCAGAGATCTTGAGATTATGCTTTGGGTTAAATACCTCTTAACAGAAAACCAAAGTAAAAAGTTAGCGAAATGTTATAACTCTTCGGGTACCCTATTTAGGAGACAGGCACGGCATACATTATGCTAGACATGAAACACTTTGAAAATCCAGTATTAAGCATTTTTTCCAACAGTATGCATAAATCATATGTCATCTTGACATTATTTTAAAAATTTCCTTCATGTGCTGGAGACAGAAAGCTGCATAATACAGCACCCCTTTGAGGTGTTCATAACGTATTCTGTGACTTTAAGCAAAACAACACATAGAGGCTAGTTGATATAAACAAGAATTAAGTTCCCAGGGCATCTAGTCAAGGTTATAAGGAAATGACATTGAACAAAATGGTGTTATTCGAGGACCTACTATAGCTGATACAGTTTGAAGAATGGAGACATTTTTCAGATGCAAACGGCTTTCTCTTTCAATACTCCTAGAAAAATGAGTTGTCTCCATTTTAGAGATGAGTAAACAGAGACCCAATAACTTTGACAAATTAAAGATAAAATGATAAATCTCAATTAGAGATAAAATGTCTAGACCTCCTAATCTGTAGATTTGTGGCTCACTACTTATTCCTAATGAGCCAGGCTCTCTCCCCAACACAGGCATCAGGGGATTCCTGGAATTTTTCTTCACCTTGAAAGCATTCCTCACATAATTCAAAGACCTTGGGAAAACCCACGGTTTTGATGTTTTTGTTTGATTTGGTGGATTATAAATTACCCACACCAGGTCTCCCCTTGTTTTTTCCACTTTTTTTTCCTCACTGATTTTTAAAGTTAAAAGGAATAGAATAGAACAGAATAGAATAGAATAGAACAGAACAGAACAGAATCCTATCTCGACTAGCCAGCAGGTTGTCTGATAATTCCTTTACCTGTCAAAAGAGACGAGCTGCTCCTCTCTTTGCCTCTCTTCCGCCTAGAAAGCAGAGGGCGTTATTGCCACTGATATCCAGAAACATGTCAGAGACACACAAAACAATAGCTTCCTTTAGCTAGCGTGTAAAGAAGCTACATCCCTCGGCTCCAACCGGATCTACATAGGAAGGCACAGGGCTCTGGCATCTGTCTTGACTAGGAAATGGGGGAGAAAGCAAATCTGCCTTCCAGGTTGGGCTCAGAACAGAAACTACACTAGACAGGATGGAGAGAATATGGGCAAAAGAGAGGATTAAACGTGATAATGGCCCTGGTCAGTGGGCTCAGTTGGTTGAGTGTTGTCCCACAAACTAAAAGTTTCAGGTTCAATTCCCAGTCAGGGCACATGCCTAGGTAGTGGGTTCAGTCCCAGGCTGGGGTACACCCAAAAGGCAATCAATTGATGTTTCTCTCCTTTCCTCTCTCTCTAAAATCAATAAGCATGTCTTCGGATGAGGATAAAAAAAAACTCTAAAGAAAAAAGTAATAATAAATGATAACCAATTTAAAAATTGGAGGGAGGTAGATTAAGGGAAAGTTGAAAACTTGAAACAAATTTTTAGAACATATAAAGATTTTTAAAAATGGCCCTGGTTGGTGTGGCTCAATGCATTGAGTGCTGGTCTGCAAACCAAAGGGTTGCTGGTTCGATTCCCAGTCAGGGCACATGCCTGGGTTGTGGGCCAGGCCCCTGGTGGAGGGGCACATGAGAGGCAACCACACACTGATGTTTCTCTCCCACTCTTTTTTATTTCCCTTCTCTCTAAAAAATAAGTAAATGAAATCTTAAAAAAATATATTTTTAAAAATGGACACTTACAGCACATTAGGTACTTAAGTAGCAAACTCACTTCAAAAATCAATCTAATGGATGTGTTTAATTTTATAATTAAGAAACTGGAAAAAAATGTTAAAAGAGGGATCTATTCCCATTTTTAAAAAGCTTTCCCAGGATAAAAGTTTTTTTTTCAATTTCCAAAATTCTATTCATGCACAGGAACACTGTGGGATTTTTAAAAAAGTGTTTACTTTATCCCCAGGTTGAGAAATAAAACACCACTAGTGTCCCAGAGCCGACCTGAGTGCTCTTCTCCAGTTACAACCCCTCCCTCTCCTTTAAAGTAACCATTATCCCGACTTTGTGATCATCATTTTCTCATATTTTACATATATAATGATATGCATCTTTATTTAATATTATATTGCCTGATTTTGAATGTTACATGAATACGATTATGTTGTCTGGTTTGTATTCTTTCATGCTTTGATTGGATCATACCGGATTGTGCCATACCTGTCCCTGATGCTGAAATGTAACTGGTTTGTTTTTCTTTGCTGTATGATATTATAGTATATGAATATGTCACAATGTATTTATCTATTCTACAGTTGATGGATATTTGGATGCTTCCAACTTTTGACTACTACAAATAATGCTGCCATGAACATTCTTGTACATATCCTGGTACCAACATACACAGTTTTTTCTAGGGTAGAACTGCTGGGTCATAAGGTATACATACATGTGTTCTGAAGGTACAGCCAAAATGTTTGCCAGTGATTGTTCAAATCATACTACCACTGGCCAGGCAGAAAAGTTCTTGTTGCATTGTATCCATAACAAAAATGCTTGGTGTTCACAGAATCTACAAATTTTGCCCTTCTCTTGGACATGGAATAATACGTCATTTGGGTTTCAATCTGCAATTCCAAAAGATAGTTGCTGATAGCAAGCTCTCTTTGGCCTTCATTCTGGATATCCACTTTCAATGGGTTTAGAACTCTATGTAGCCAGTACTGTCCTACAGAACATTGAAGGGGGCTCTCCGCTGGCTTCCACTGTTGCTGATGACAGTCAACTGTCAATCTAACTAACTATTGCGTCTTTAGAGCATTCCATTGTTTTTCCCTGGTTGTTTTTATGCTTTTCCTCTTTGTCTTTGATGTTCTGAAGTTTCTCCTTTATGTACTAGATGAGAATGTTTATATATCCCTCCTGGGATTGGTCAGCTTCTTGAAACTACAGATTAGTGTCTTTCATTAGCTGTAAAATATTACCACCCATTTTCTCTTCAAATATCTCTGTTCTATGTTTGTTCTATTCTTGCTCTGTAACTCCAATTAAAACTGTCAGATCCTCTCACTTCATTCTTTATTTCTCACAATCTTTCTTCCCTATTTACCTTCTTAACCCCCTTTCCCACATGTTGGATAATATCTTCTAATCTATTTTTTATGAAAACCACTCATCCATGAAGTTTTTAAGTTCCATATTATATTTTTCAATTCTAGAAAATCTTTTCACATTTTCCCAAAGCTTTGCATAGTTTCCTGCTTCTTACAGATGTTTTCAAATCTTTCTTTTATTTCTTTAAACACAGTAAGTACAGTTGTTTTGTAATTCTAATAAGCAGTCTTAGTAAGCCCTAACTGGGTAGCTCAGTTGGTTAGAGCATCGTCCCAATATGCCGAGGTTTCCATTTCAGTCTCTGGGCAGGGCACATACAAGCAGCAAGCAATGAATGCACAAATAAGTGGAACCACAAATCGATGTCTGTCTGTCTGTCTCTCAAATCAATAAAGTTTTCTAAAAAAGAAGCCTTCATAAGTCTATTTCACCTCACTGTTGTTTCAGGGTTGTTTCCTTGTGTACTTGGTTATTTTTAATACTATGCTGCTTGATCACACATCAGAAAATGTTTGAGGGCACTGTTTCAGGACTGGGATAAAGGTGTCTAACCAGAGAGGATTTCTATTTGCTTTTTCCTGGCACCTAGGTACTCTACCAGTGCTAGACTACTTGAAGCTTAAGGCTTTTGCACCATTCAGGTGGTAGGAATTTGTGTAGTCAATTTGCCTAACGGTTACTTTGTGGTACAGCTTACAGTCTGGATTTCCCCTCCCTCCTGCTGCCCTCTACCTGCTCAGCTCAGTGCTAATGCAATCTTTTTGCAATCTACTGGGGGATGTGGTCTTTTGGGGCCCAGTTTAATTTGAGGAGCATCTTCCTGTAGATTCTCCACCTTGCATGGACCCTGAGCTCTGACTGTTATTCACCCTCATGCCATGAGAACATCAAAACTGAAGTTCAAGTTTCTCTTTAGTAAATGTACTCAAGGGCAAAAGCAGGTTCAGTGCTCTGCTTACCTCTATAGGTTCTTACCTTCTCTTAGATTTTGACCTTAAAATGTTCATGGCTCGTAGGAGCTTTTGAGAACTTGGGCTATTAAAATCTAGTGTTTGTTAATTCCTTTCAAAGAGAAAGCTAGTCCAAATAACCCAGCCTACTATATTCTAAAAAACAGATGAATTCTTTCTCTTTTTTTAAGTTTTTAATGGAAGGCCAGTATGATAAAAAAAAAAAAAAATCACATGTAACTCTACCTGTCATTTTTTAAAACCTTTGTGCACTTTTCTTTCTGGTCTTTGACCATGTAAAACATTATTTCTTTTACACAGGTTATATCAATCTGACATTTTCGCAGCAGCTAATGCCTATATTTATTATTTGGGCGGATAGTAAATAAAGGCCAATGGTCAGAGGGAAAAAAAAAGATTTAGGAAAGAACATCCTGAAATTTGCAAAGGTCTTCTTTGGGGAATGAACTTACAGAAAGTCGAGATCCAGCTCTTGCTCTGGCAATGCTCTCCTTTTCCTTTTCAGATACCCTTCTCTGCACAGCCTGGAAATTGTTTAAGGCTGCCGAGAAGTCATTCATGAGGCGTTCCTTCTGAAGTCTCTGCTGGCGCTAAGGAAATTAAACAAAAATTTGAAATTGCATAGTAAGTACAAATCATTTGGTTTTAATACCCATTAAGAGCAATATTATACCCCCTAAAGATTCCTTACTAGCAAAATTACTATGAAATAAGCTCTCCCTTAAATGAATACTTTTGTTCTTCACTAACTCAAACCCCTGGTTAATATTATAGGCCACATCAGAATTTTCATTCTGACAAACCTGGGAACTGGGTGACATTTACCTTGTAAGGTAATTTCAGAGGGAAATGCAATTCAGAATTTTGGTTCCCTGGAGACTCAAAAGCAGAATAAATACCTGTGGACTCAAACTGGACCCAACAAGAAATTATTTTTTATTAAAATGTTAAAACTGTATTCATCTATGCCAAGTTCACAGCTTCTCTGAAAACCATAGAATCATTTTCCTATGGTGATATTTTAAATCTTTGAGATCCTGCAAACTACTTTGAATAGTTACAAGCTACCTTAGTAGCTTGTAAGTAAGTAAGTAAGCTTACTGATTCTGTCTCAAAAAAGCACATACTAAGAGCACCTGCTCTGTGCTAAGGTCATAGAAGTAAAAACTCATCCCTCATCTCAAAGAGCTTCCACCACGTACTTGTAGATAAAGGATATAGACATACAAGTAAGTCTTGTACAGATATACAAGACATTTGTAGATAAAGGACATAGACATTATTATAAACAACTGCTTATCTAATTAGTACTGCAGGAGTTTAGAGGCAGGTATGCTCAGTAAGAACCCAAGGGGTCAAAGAGGCCCCAAGAGGAGGTGGGCCCTGGAAGAAGGAGTGAGGCGTGGATGCGCAGAGAGACGGGCTGGGCAAGTCCAGGCAGGAGAACAGTGTGAGCAAAGGCATGGCGGCAGAAACCTGAAGATCTGTAAGGAGATAGTTTGGCTGGAACCAAAGGTTTTTTCCCCACGAGAATAGCTAAAAGATGATGTGGGAAAGGCAGGGAAGGGGCTGACTATAGCAGGTTTTAAAGTGCCAAGCTGATGAGTTTGAGACTTAACCTCTAAAGAACAAAGAACAGTGAAGATTTCAGAGCAGGAAACATGATGGGTACAAAATAACTCATAGCTTAGACAAATGAGTCTGTGATGGTGTAGAAAATGGAATAGGGAAAAAGTAAAAAAGATTACTGCAACAGTCTCGGTTTAAGGATGGAAGGATGTGGTACCTGTCAGTGATGGGAACACAAAGGAATGAGTTTAAGACACGTGATGACTTAGTGAGTGGCTGCAGGGGAAGGGGACAAGGTCAAGAATGACTCAGATTTCACACCTGGGAGGGTGACAGTAATGCTGAAAGCAAATTTAGAAACGAGAAACTTTTTCTTCCTTTTTCTGGGATTTTTATTTTTTCATAAACATTGTAACAGTAAGAGTGGAAAAACATCATTCCTCAATCTCAGTGTCCAAAAATACTATCTTTTAAGTATATTATAAACATTTTCCGTGTTACCATACTCTTCACAATCATGGTCTTTGTTACATAATACTTCATCAAGCTGATCTAGTCCATTTTATGCAAATACTCCTTCTATATTGTTCCCCACTTTTTAACTATTATAAATAAAGCTAAAGTGAGCCCTATGGTAAGAGCTAATATTTATACAGTGCTTACCATGTGCTTGTACCGATGTAAGTACTTAATGTAACAACTCATTTAATCCATGCTAGAACCTATATTAGTTAGGTACTATTTAGTCCCTATTTTACAAATCAGAAAACCGAGACCAGAGACTGGTTAAGTAATTTGCCCAGGGTCACATAGTAAGTAGCACAGGCAGAATCTAAATCCAGGAAATTTGGCTCCAGAGTACATAGTTGGTTTTTGTTGTTGTTTTTCCTCAGGACATACTTGGGTGAGTGGATATTAGGTCAAAAGGCTAACATTTTCTATGACAACATGTATTGCCAGTCAGCTTAGTTAAGGGGTTTGGGTGAAAGGAGAGGAATTCAGTATAAGACAACACATTAAATTTCAGAGGAAGGCAGTATATTTAAGAGAACTCAGAACAGGAACTGGCAATACGGGCTTAGAGGCGGGGGCTGGAAAAAGATCTGAGGGTCATGTTCATAAAGATGACAGGAAGCTTATAAAAGTAGATAGGACTCCTGAGGGAAAAAGCACAGAGTGAGAAAATTGCAGGATCAATGGCAGAGCTGCACTCAGAGAAGGAGGGTGAGACTCAGGCTGGGGTAACAGAAAATAAGCCAGAAAGGGCTCACCAGAGCGGGGGGACAAAATGGAAGAGAATCACGGAAAGAAAGTAAGTTTCAGCGGAGACAGGATGGGCAAGAGGACCAAATGAATCAGAGAAGAAAAGGGAATAAGAACCAAAAAGACCCAGAGTTAGCAGCTAAAAGATCGCTGAAGCTAGTACATACATATAAAATACTGAAAGTAGAATGTATGGTTTGATGTATAGGACAGTAGCAAAAGATGGGTAATGCAGCTAAGAGAATTAGATGAAGAAAGGTGTGAAAAGGGAAAGAGAATTCAGCACAACAGGAGGAAGGGAATTATATTTCACCAGAGATAGTGTATTTGCAGATCTATTTCGTGTTTTTAATGATACAAGATAATGGAAGGAACAACTGCATGCATAATCCGAAAATAACTTCTGTTTGATTTTGGAATACATTAGATACATTTTTTTTTTGGTAGGAGATTTGACTTTCTATTTATATTTTGCTTAGGCTACTATTTAACTCTTAAGTACTTTCAGTACTCTGTTTGCATCAAACACTTAGACCCCTTTTTTCCTAACTATTACCTGCAAGTGTGTATTCCCTAAGTGCACAGCCAGGAGGAGGACAGGGGTAATTTGGGAACAGTTCAGCGATATTGGATGGCAAGGGGGAATTTGCCCATAATTGAAATTATCAGCATGAGTTACAAAACAAAGAACACACAGATGGATAACCAAAGGGTGATCACATGTAGATTACTTTTTATCTTAACTACTTTGTAGCAGGATGGGAAAGCAGCTAGCCTTGGATCTTCTCTTTTGTGCAAGGAGCCCCAAAACTCCAAAGACGGAATATATACTTCATTAAACGGCTTACCAGGTATAGGTTAGACTAGTGATCTTCAAACTGTTTTGACGGAGACACACAGTAAGAACACAGCATCTTGATGCAGTACCATATACATAAATATACATGAAACAGGTTTCATGTAACAGTAACACACTCCATTTCTATTGTATGTCAAAATGATGATGATCGCAACACACTAATACTATTTTATGTCCCAGCAGCCACAACTCACAGACAACCCTGGACAGGGAAGTTGTAGGCTTCATCTTCAGAGCCATCAGAGATGGGACATCATCATTTAAACAGTTCAATAATAAAAAGCAATATAAGCTGAGTGTCCTGCATGAATGGTACAGAAGCTGAAAGCAAAATGGACTCACAACAGGTTTAGGTAGATGAAGGTTTCTTTTTTCCCTAAAAGAGAAAGGATTTGGGGTAGACCACGAATGACAGGTATGAGTTAAGCCACAAAGGAGGAAGCACATCTGACATCAGGAATGTATGTGAACAAAGGCATGGCATTTCAAGGAAACCAATGAACCCTATAGAAAGTGTGTGTTTTTAAAGGATTTAAATGGCCACTGAATAAATTACTTAAAAAGAGAAATTTCTTTTCCCTGAGTGTTTCTTCAACCTGAGACCTATGAATGACTCATGGTGGGACATGAAGGTGACTGCACAATGTAAAAGACATATGGCCGAAGTTTATAGATACTGGATACAAAACAAACTAGCATCAAGCCTGAAAACCGAAGATCAAACACTGAGATTCTCCTTCAGTTAAACCTACTCTATTAATACATTAATGTGTTATTACTAATAATAGCAGCAGCCACCACATACTGAGTACCTACTAAGTGCCAGGTACTTTGCAAGATCTGGTGCATGCATTCTTTCTCTTGTCACAGTGGCTGCATTTTCCCATTTTACTGATAGTGAAATTGAGGTTTAGAGAAGGTCTAGCTGCACCAAAGGCGAAGTTATTTTTGTTTCACACACTGTCTTCCCATTAAAACAATGTCCTTTCCTCTTAAAAAAAAAAGCAACAACAACAAAAAACAGAAAATACCTACCTGTTCTGAAGTAGACAAGGGAAGAGGCAAGGTCCCTAATTCCTTCAGTAATTCATTTGTTTCCTTGGCAAGCTGATTTGTGGAGTGCTGTAACTGTTGCCTGAGAGACAAAGACATGTTTCAGGATTTTCTCATTTCTTGAGAGCTGTTACAGTTAGTACCAGCTTGTTCTCGGAGTGTCTCACAAAGCAGGGAATGAAAGGGCACCTGAAGAAATAGATTACTAGATGCCCAGGTTCACAACAAAATTCAGAACTGCTACCCAGTCAAAATCCACTTCGAGGCTTCTTCACATTACTGAGTAGAAAGAACCTGCCTCAGTGAAACCTGCTGATCAGGTATTTTAACTCTTCGGGGAGAAGAGAAAAGCGCATCAGCAGTTCTGACAGAAATATAAGAGCAACTGCCCCCACAGCTAAATCCAAGAGTTTGAACACACTGAACTGTCTCACAAAACTCTCACACTGAGTTGCCCGGGGGCTCTGCAGAGCTACGGTCACAGCCCACTGCCCAGAGACAGGATCCTGGCACTGGCGGTCGGATGAAATGTGCATTCGAAGCACGGCTCCCACCCTAGAGAACAACCTCCAAAGGTCTGTCCCCGGGTTCCTGCTTAAAGCTGGGGCTCCTTCAGCTTTACCTCGAGTCCTTACTGGTTCTTGATGCTCTACTCTCTGGTTCTTCCCCCTAAAAACAAAACTGTCCTACAGTGTGTAAACACATATAAAGAGCAGAGGGGAAAGGACACTAAAGAGGGAAGAATATGTAACATGTTAGGTGGAACTGAAAAGTAGTGGAAATCCAAAAAGAACTCCTGTCAGTCATGGTGTCCTCTGTTATCTGGCCACTTCTACAAAGATGTTAAGGGAGGACAGAGAAACCACACCATTAATTATTAATGTTTTTTCACTGCAAAGGAGACTCCAAGATAAAAGACAAGGGAGTCCAAAATAAGAGGGAGTCAATCAGGAGCCTGCCCATCCCGGGCAGGACTAACATATCCAGAGACATTTCACATCTCCCTGGAAAAAGCTTAAAGTAGTAAGTCATTCCTTCACCTCACAGTGTCTAAAACAGGAAACAAAAATATTGTTCAGTACATTTTAGAGATGAATAGTAGAACTTTTAACAGCAGAAATGTACTCAAGAGGGATGTGATAAAAAAAGAAATACCAGTCTACTATTCTCTCAGGCTCCGCTGGGGTCATTCTGAATAAATTTTTCCTAATAATGTGTGCAGTTGGAAATCCACCTAGATGAGATGCTCTCTGCCGAGCATTAGGAGTCCTCTGCCAACAGGGAGGGTCGCTTAGTCAAAATACAGTTTAAGAAAGTTAGGGGTTCCCTTCTCTCAAGGAAAGAAAGAACCAGAGATCAAGGACTCGAAGACACAGAGAAGATCACAGCCCATTAACATATTTTGTTGCCCCCCTTCTAGATCCACCTGTTACTTTCCGTCCCACTGCCTCTCGTCCTGGCTTCACAGGCCTGACCCCTAAGCGTCCATGCAGCAGTGGCACTGTGTCCTCAAAGGGCCCTCACAAAACCCAGCCTCGTCGGGAACTACTCACAGATTTTCCTGTAGCTTGGTGGAGTCCTGTTTAGTTCCCAGTTGGCTCATTAAATTCTTTATTTGGGCAGCTGAGGAGAAGGAGGAAAAAAGATTTGTTAAAAGAAAAAACAGATTCATCATGAGCACCCTGTCTAAAGTCAGCAGTTTTTTTCCACATCCTGAATAAGTACATGCAAATAGTAAGCTTGCTATGATCAAAACCTTGGCATACACATTCCCTTAAATTCTGAGGTTCACCTTTGTCCCATGGAGTATGTCTTTAAGTGGAGGGTGGTGGTTTTATTCATCACCCCCAAAGAACCTCCAAACTTTTCCGGATTTCCCGTGGCACTAGATAAAAATTTAATCACATTTAAAAGGGCCCTGAAGCACGGGCTGCGAACCAAAGTGTTGCAGGTTCAATTCCCAGTCAGGGCACATGCCTGGGTTGCAGGCCATGGCCCCCAGCAACCGCACATTGATGTTTCTCTCTCTCTCTCTCTTTCTCCCTCCCTTCCCTCTCTAGAAATAAATAAATAAAATCTTAAAAAAATAAAATAAAAAATAAAAGGACCTTGATACTAAATATAGGCCCTGGCCAATGTGGCTCAGTTGGTTGGAACGTCATCCCATACACTGAAAGGTTGCAGGTTTGATTCCTGGTCAGGGCATATTCCTGGGTTTCAGGTTCAATCCCCAGTCAGGGCACATATGAAAGGCAACCAATCTATGTTTCGCTTCACACTGATGTTGTTTTTTCTTGCTCTCTCTCTCTCTCCCCTCCCTCCCTCCCTTTCTCTCTAAAAGTAATGAATAAACGTCCTTGGGAGAAAATTACAAATTAATAAAATTTAAAATAAAATGGCCTCAATACCAAATATCACAACAAAAACTACAATCCTCTAGTACACAATGTTTTACAGCAAACATTTTTGGAAAGACATGTATATTTATTATTAATAAAAAGTTACCAATGCCCTGGTTGGTACACCTAAGTGGGTTGAGCGCCAGCCTGAGAACCAAAGGGTAGCTGGATCAATTCCCAGTCAGGGCATATGCCTGCATTGTGGGCTAAGTCTCTGGTTGAGGGGGTGTGAGAGGCAATCTATCGATGTATCTCTCACACACTGATGTTTCCCTCTCTTCCCTTCTCCCTTCCCCTCTCTCTAAAAAATCAAAATCTTTTAAAAATTATTTTTAAAAGTCTGTATCTATGAGACTATTTCTGTTCGTTTCTTTATTTTGTTGTTCAGATTCAATTTTTACTAGATGTATATCTATTGCCATTTTATTGTTCATGTTTTTTTACCTTTTCTCCTTCTCTCCCTCCCTCTCCTCCTTCTTTAAGAAGAACCTTTACTATTTCATGTAATACTGGTTTGGTGGTGATGAACTCCTTTAGCCTTTTCTCCTCTGGGAAGCTCTTTAAGCCTTTTGATTCTAAATGATAGCTTTGCTGGGTAGAGCTATCATCACTTTGCTTTTCATCACTTTGAATAATTTCTTGCCAATCCCTTCTGGCCTACAACATTCCTATTGAAAAATCAGCTGAGAATATTAAGGGAGCTCCCTTGTAGGTAACTAACTGCTTTCTCTTGCTGCTTTGAAGATTCTCTCTGTCTTGAACCTTTTGCATTTTAATTATAATGTGTCTTGATGTGGACCTCTTTAGGTTCATCTTGCTTGGGATTCTCTGCATTTCCTGGACTTGTATGTCTCTTTCCTTCACCAAGTTTTGGAATTTTTCTGTCATTATTTTTTCAAATAGATTTTCAATTTCCTGCTCTCTCTCTTCTCCTTCTACCACCACCTGCCATGATGCAAATGTTGGTACACCTGAAGTTGTTCCCGAAGCTCCTTATACTATCCTCATTTAGAGGGCTCTTTTTTCTTTTTGCTGTTCTGACTAGGTGTTTTTTGCTTCTTTATATTCCAAATCACTAATTTGATTCTTGGCTTCATCTACTCTACTGTACTGTCAATTCCTTGTACATTATTCTTCATCTCTGTTAGCATATCCTTCATTTCTGACTGGTTCGTTTTTATAGTTTACATGTCCTTTTTTATGATGTTGAAGTTCTCATTAAGTTTGCTGAATATCTTATAATTACACTTTGAACTCTGCATCAAGTAGATTGCTCATCTCCATTTGGTTTAGTTCTTTTTCTGGAGTTTTGTTCTGTTCTTTCTCTTGGGACATGTTTCTTTGTCTCCTCATTTTGGCAGCCTCCCTGTGTTGTTGTTTTTTTCTCTATGTATGAGGTAGAGCTGCTTCCTGTCCTGGGCTTGGCAGAGTGGCCCAATGCAGCAGGTGTTCTGTAGGGTCTAGCGGCACAGCCTCCCCAATCACCCAAGCTGGGCACTCTAGGTGCATACCCGCATGTACACCGTGTACACCCTACTGCTTAGCTGAGGTAAGAATTTACCCCTAGGCCTACTGGCTGTAAGGACTGGCTGCGACCACTGACCACAAACCACTATGGAGGATTAGCTGTTCTGAATAAGGGTTGTTGTGCAGTTCAGTTGTAATTTTGATGTGGTTGTGAGAGGATACAAGTACTGCATTTACTTACCCCGCCATCTTGACCAGAAGTTTCCTATTGTCTTTATCCACCTACAATAACATTCCTTTGGAATGTCAAAGTAATCTTTTCCAGACCCCTCAGGACATAGCCATCGCACCAGAGCACCAGATTGTGAGACCACAGAACCCCTTCTTCTTTTCTTGTCCACACACAACACACCTCTGTGTTGTAACTGATAACTATCCTATAAAGAAGTATGTGTCTCCCCCTTTACTTTTCATCCAGTCTCAGAGATATCCCTGCTTTGCTTTCTCCCACATCTCTAATCTACCACCAGTGGATTTCACGTAATCCCCCTAAAGTCTTCTTCTTTGATTCTAAAGTATCAAATAAGCTATAAAACCGCCATTCTCTTGACCATTTGCTCAATCCACTGAGATTTTGATTCCCACCAACTGATATCATTGTGGATCAAAAAAACTTTTAATAAGACTTTTTCTTAGAGTGAAATTTCTTTCGTGGACAGATTCTAAGTCTGATGAGACACAACGATTAAGCAACATCTTCTAAATGACCTTTGTGTGACTCTGCTCCTAAATGGACGCTACACAGCCTAGCCCTTAGCAGTAAGCACGAGTTATTTCTCCTTAGCCAAAACAAGCACTGTATCATAGATGTTTCAACCTCAAATTTATAAAGTCAAAAATATACAAGTTTATAGTACTTCAAATATGCTTTTATCTTATTTTCAGACCATACTGTTCTAGCAAATATGTAACTCCAATTTATAATGGAGATACAAGATTCACTTGATTACAGGAAAATGTAACCACTATAATTACTGCATTCTGCTAGTACAGCATTATATAAGGTATAAATCATTTTTCACTACTAATGTGTGGATATTCCTTATTATCTAAGTCAAATGGGAATCAGAGTATCACTAAAGCTATCAACTGGCTACAAATTTATGAAAGAGGCAGGCATTAGAGTTTACCGAGCATTTACTATGTGCCATTGGGCTACATACGGGTACTTGATATGGTATAATAAAAAGTATATTTGATCATTGTCACCATTTCCTGACACAAAGCACCTAAAACCCTTGGGCTTTCCTGAGTGATAAGAGCGTCTTTTGTTTTTCATAAAGAGCCCCTTTGGAACACACCAAGTTTATGCTAACAGGTGACTTGGGTGGGTCCTCTAGGCAGCCTTAGATGGGTGCGGCTGGTTACCAGAGTGACCAAGCGATTAGAAGGCTGGAACTTTCAGCCAGACGCACAGACCTCAAACAGGAGGAATAGTGGGGGGAAGGGTACAGATTAAGCTCTATAAAAACTCGTAACTAGATTTGATGAACTTCCCATTAGTGGAGACAGTGCTTGAGCTCAGAGGTGGCAAGGTAGCTCAGAGCCCTTCTCATGTACCTGCCCTAGGCATCTCTTCCATCTGGCTGTTCCTGAACTATAGCCTCATAATAAACTGATAACCTAATAAGTAAATGTTTTCCTGAGATCTGTGAGCTTCTCTAGAAAGTTAATGGAACCTAAGGAAATGGTTATGGGAACCTCAATTTCTGATTTGCAATTGTCGTGGGGTAAAGTCTTGGGGAATAAGCCCTTACTTAAGCTATGGAATCTGATGCTAACTCCAATAGTGTTGGAATTGAGTGAAACTGCAGGATACCCACCTGATGTCTGGAGAAGCTGATTACTGCTTACTGTGTGGAAAGCCCACATATCTAGTGTCAGAAGTAAATTATTGAGAGTAGAGGAAATACAGGAGTGTTTTCCCTTTATGCTTGATAAGTATGATCTTATTTGAACCAACAATCACTTTTTTAAAAAAAGATTTTATTTATTTTTAGAAAGAGGGGAAGGGAGGCAGAAGAGGGAGAAAAACACTGACGTGTAAAAGAAACAGTGATGGAATGCCTCTCACATATCTCCAAGTGGGGGGCCTGGCCCGCGACCCAGGCACATGCCCTGACTGGGAATCAACCAGCAACCCTTTGGTTCATAAGCCGGCACTCAATCCACTGACCCACACCATCCAGGGCCCAAATTATACAGTTCTGATCATGCAATTATGATTGGTTGGTATAGATGCAAATGAGGTAATTATATGCATAGTTTTGACTGAACAGGCAGGTCCCAGTCCCTCGGGAGAAGGACTGAAACCAGGGTTCCCTTGCAGTGGTTGACTCAGACAGCATAAACAAGCAGGATGGGGGTGGGAGGGTGTAGCGCTGTGAGGTCAGGCTGAGGTTCTTCCAGGTAATGAGTACATGAGGAGCTCCTGTCAGCGAATAGCCATTAGACAATTCTTAGTAATAAAATTTGGGCCCTTGGTTGACCATGAGGAGTCCACCTCAGCAGACAAATTACTTCTCGGGGTTCACAAGAGCTACAGAATTCATTAATTCAGAGTACCTACTACCCTGTTCTATCTTTGCTCTAGGAGACTTTGTTGTCAATAAGCTTATATTTTAAGGAAAAGAGACAAATAATAGCATATGTCAGGCAGTGATAAGTACTGTAAAGAAATAAATTCAGGTAAGGGCT